AGTTCATGAGAAGTTAGATGAAGAAGAACTCGAAGATACAGTAGAGAATGCTAAACCTTTGTTCGAACAAGAAGTTGGAAAAATGTGCGAAAAACAATTAGAACATGAACGTGAGATATGTTATGGTTATAGAGATTCTCCATACGAACTAGATCAATGGGAACAAGAAGATTTAAAGAGAGAATTTAGAGAATATGAACTCGCTAAGATAGCATTAGAAGCTGCAGAAAAGAAGTTAAAAGTTTGGGGTCGTTTTGTACAAAAATATTGTGAGTAAATGAACTCATTATTTTTGTCATAAATGACACGAAGTGAAGATTTGCACTTCGTCAAAAAAGTGAAGGTTCCCGACGGTTTCAAACCGCCATACTTTACATGAAGATAGTTTACAATGTCAACTAAATATCATGTACGATAGAAACGGTTATGTAAAGTTTACATTTTGTATAAAAATATTGTGAGTAAATGAACTCATTATTTTTGTCATAAATGACACGAAGTGAAGATTTGCACTTCGTCAAAAAATAATGTTTATGTTAGAATGTTAGATCTAACACGTTTTCTAACCTCTTTTATTGTTGCATGCTAAGTTCGGTCAACGATAGAAATTGAGTGGAAATTAATCGTCGAGGAAGTACGATTATGTAAAGTAAAAAAAATGTTGTGGGATTTTTAATATTATATATTATTTTATAATAAAATTTTTTTGAGTCATTTTAAGAAGCACATATAATTTTTTGAATTTAAAAATTAAAGTAGTGTCAAACGAATTTATCACTTAATTTAATACTCAGATTTCTTAAAATTAATGAAAAAAAGGTTTTCTGAGAACTTTTGAGAATGGTTTTCAAATTCCATTATTGAAAATATATAGGTATTGTATGAAATTCAAACTCTATATTTATTAAAATTCTAAATTTTTAATAAAATAACTTTTCAGAGGAATATGATTTTGAACGGTTGATTAATAAGTATAAAAATGTCTACGATTTTAAGGAGGGAATTGTTCCTTATGAGGTATACATCATAACTATATACCTCATAAGGAACAATTCCCTCTTGATAGCTGGGAAACTTTCTCTGAATAACTTATCATTTGGAGAAAGTTTCCCAGCTATCTATTAGAAACTAAAGGCTGTGGGGCACTAATATATAATCAGTGCCTCATAGCCTTTAGTTTCTTATTAAAAACGAGAAAACTTGTTCGAAATGATAAACAATTTCGAACAAGTTTTCTCATTTTAAGGAGGGAATTGTTCCTTATGAGGTATACATCATAACTATATACCTCATAAGGAACAATTCCCTCTTGATATCCTGTATATTTTTGAATATATTTTTTAATTAAAGTTCTCAAAAGTATTATCAAAAGTGATTTTTAAAAAATATCTCCAATTAATTAACTAATTAAAAGTATTATATTTTTTAAAATTAAATGGTTTTTCAATTTTTTTGAAGGAATTGAGATACTTCCCACGACAATAAAATTGAGAGGTTTACATTATGACTGATCTTAGCATGCAACATTATAACATGGTCTAAAACTCTCGAAAATCATGAATTTTTGACATTTCCTTATGAAAGAAAAATAACGCTAATTTTTCTAAGAAAAATTTTTATCTTGTATGTAAAGATATGATTTCAACAATCAACACAACAACAATTCAAACAACTTCACCAAACTCTTTAGTTATGAATCCTACGTCAATGTTAGTAGAGATGAAAAGCTTCATTCCTTCTTCATATACTTTTGAGACAGAAATACAAAGAATTAAGCAAGAACTTTTAACAAGTAATTTAGACTGTAGTGCGAAAGATGAAACAAATGAACAGTATCTTTATGACATGCAGGACCTGGTGGAACATTTACCCAAAATGCCTGAAATCCAACAACAAAAGCTCACTATTCCTGAATTCGATGAAATAGAAGTAAAAACAACTGACTCAGTAGAAATAAAGAAGTTCATACGAAAGGTAAATTATGAGTTTCTAGGATATCATTGCAACCATAAAGTTATGGACAAAGATTGCGCCATGGTATATAAGAACATCTCTGACATATATAAATCTGAAGAATTTAAGACCTACGACAACTTTGTTTCATTAGTTGCTGAATGTGTATGGCAGATAAGAGATAAAGATAAAAGATGTAAAATATGGAACGAACAAATCAGACCTACATATTCTGAGTTAAAGAAAACCATTGACGCCTTAGTTGTTCTAGCAGGTCAAATTTCAATGTATAACGCAAAAATGAACCCACAATGTTCAAAATGTAAAGCAGCAATAAGGAAATATAACTATTCTGTCAAAGAGATAGAACGTATGAGAAACGACTATGTTGACTTAAAGAAAGAAGTAGAGAAACCAGCAGAAGATAAAATGGACATGTTAGAATTTCTGAACAAAAACTATCCAACAGCTGACGATTTCCTATTATCTGATGTCAAGAAGAAATATAAAGAAACCTTCGGCATAGTTAAAATTTTTGATATCCTTCGTGAAGAAATAGAAGCTACAAAACTGTTTAAAGTCATGAACCATCGCAACATATACCATGTAAAACGCTTGTAAATAGTTATGTTAGAAAAGTGGTTAGAAAACGTGTTAGATCTAACATGCTAACATAAACATTATTTTTGTCTGAAAAATGACCAAATTTCATTAGTTAGAAAAATAACGCTAATTTTTTCTAAGAAAATTTTTTATTTTGTATGTAAAGACAGTAATGTCAAACATTGAGTTTGAAACAGTTAGAAAGATTGACAATGACACCAAAGTGGTTAGAATAGGTGATTTAAACGTAAGATACTCAAAGAAATACAACAAATATTCTTTGTCAGACATTATATCTCCATCTGGAAAGAAAACAAACGACTTGGTTAGAAATGCTTCAACTCAGAAAATTTTGACAAGAAATCCTGAGCTTATGATATCAGTAGCATTTCATGGAACAAGAGCATATCTTATAGACAAAAGTCTTATACCAATAGTTTTGTTATGGTTAGACCCAGTTGTTGGATATAACTTCATAACTTATGGTTCATTCGATACGGAACGTTGCAGTGAAGGCTTACTATACATCGTTCAGAAACCGAAGGACTTCAATACAAAGAGATATAAGATAGGAAGAACATATAATATAACTCAAAGATATGACAGTACAGTCAATAGAGTCAAGGTTGTGTTCGTTAATGATATGAGAGCTGCAGAAACAGAACTACTTGAAAAGTTTGAGAAAAGGTATGGTGCTCCCATGAAAGGTAAAGAAACGTTTGAAGTAGATGAGATAGATAAAGCTATAAAATTATTTGACGAAGTTGCTGAAAAATACATGTAAAGCGTTTATTTTTGGTCTTTTGTGAAAGTCAGAAAATAAAGTTAGTTTTTTATAAAATATTTTTTTTATCCGGAATATAAAGACAGATATGTCAACAACAGAGAACACAACAACTGCTATCGTTCATGAAGCCATTAATGAAGAATATGAATACATACAGTATAACAAACAATTGAGACTCATTCGTTCAGTCAAAGATGACATGTACCAAATGCAAAGTATAATGAATGCTCTTCGTTCTACAAAGCAAGCATATCATTGGTTTGAAAACCAACAGACAAAAGAACTTTTAGAAGAATTTCCTCATATGATTGCTTCCCTCGGAAAACCGAGAGAAGAGATTCCGTACGAAAATCGCAAGAATTTGGCTCCTGGTTTGAAAGGATATTATGTTCATAGACTTTTAGTAAATGCTGTAGCAATGTGGGCTTCACCTCGTTATGCTTGTTATATTTTCATGATGTTAGATGAACTATATAAAGCAGAACGCGAAGATATGGAAAAGAAACTTCATGCAAAAGATGAAGTCATTGAATCCAAAGACAAAAGCATACAGAAAAGAATACCACGTTCAGTACCAAAAGGAAAGGAAAAGAGTTATAAGTATATGATATATACTGAAGAGTTGGAGAAAGAAGAAGACAGTGACATGGTTATGTTGCATTTAGTCAGAAGAAACAACAAAAGCTTTTACGACCTTGCTAAGATTTACAAATCTGACAGAAATTGGTTCTATCGTGAAAACTTACCGATTTCAATGACACCGAATGAAGATGTTAAACAGATAGTTCAAGACACACTTCCTCAAACACACTATGACATCAAAGGTTGCACAATACTTACATTCAAAGAAGACTTAACATTACTGAAGGAAAAAATAACAGAATATTTCGATAACTTCAAAGAGGAAGAATGAAAAAAAATCTCGTCGGGTGCCACGTTAGAACTATAGTGGAGAAAACCATGATAAAAACAAAACGCTCCATGTCGATCATAATCGACGAAGTGCAAATCTTCACTTCGTCAAGTTTATTTTGTTTTTACCATTTAAGTGTTGTAAAATGTCGATATGAAGACTAACCAAAAATATATTTTTGCTTAAATGACGTCAGGGTCAATTTCTTCAACCATTTCACTTCCTTCGTCAATGTCAATAGAAGCTTCTTCAACCTTTGGTAAGAATTTCTGTATAACATCTTTGTTCGTTATTGTCTTCAGAGATGAAGGATAATATTTCACATTTGTTTCACCCTTCTTATATTCTTTCTGTTCGGAAAGATTCATAGCAATACTGAAGAAGTCAATGTTAGAGTTCTTTATGACAGTATAATGAGTATCTTTGACATTCACGAAGAAACTCTTTTGTTTCAAAACTACTGCTAACTCTTGTGAAGTATAACGTTTGCGGTCAATGACGATAGCTAATGGTCTGACATACTGACCGAACTTAGATTCTTTCACAAACTTCTTGTTAAAGATAACATTAACATTTGAAGCATTATTGAACTCATTCTTGATGGCATAGCGAGAGCATTGTATGAAAAGAACTTGCAATCTTGCATGTGTTTCATTATAATAAAAAGTTCGAAATATTTTAAAACTAGCCTTAAAAAATCTAAGCTAATTTTTTTCTAAGAAATTTTTTTATTTCCTACTAAAGATGTATCGGAAGTTGTCTAAGTTAGAACACTCGGAAATAAAACAACTTCTTACAGAAGCTAACATAGATGTTGCAAAACATTACGCGACAAACAAAAAAGCACTCGCTGACATCCTCAATGACTACAATGGTGAAATAACTTATGATAGAATTCATGAGTTCATAAATGCAAGAGCATTTCCTTTAAATGACGTTGCTATTGACTTATATCATAGACGTTCAGTACCTCATGAAGTAAGAAGAGAAATGTTTGACATAACAAATGCGAACGTTGGTCATACTCGTAAAGCTCTTTCGCATGATGTTCGTCAAGAGATGTTTGACATAACAAATGCAAACGTTGGTGAAACACGAAAGAGAGACGACACACTGAAACAACAGAGAAGAGAGATGTTTAAAAGTGCTATAGAACAAGTTCGCAAAGCTAACGATGTCATTCGTTCCATTGACGACAAACCAAAAGAAGGTGAGAGATGGTTAAAGAAAGATGAAGAGAATAGGAAGAGAAATGTGAAGTCAGGCAATAGACTCATTGACTTTAACATCGAAGCTTTAGATGAACCAAACAGAGACTACTTACACAAACATTTCGGTAAGGTTTTCATGAGACTCTTAGAGAAGATTAAAATAAACTCCCAACAAAGATGGATGGTATGTTATAAACTTGGTGGAAAGTATGAATGTTCTACGTTAAACCTCAATAATATTGGAACATTACTACATCAGCTCTTGAAGGAGAACTTTATATCAGAGATAGAAGCAAATGCTGCAGGTATTGTTGAAATGCACTATGACTTCTTCTTGACAAACATAAAGAATCTTACTGAAATAAAGATGTATGATTTAACTGAATATGAAGGCTTAACGATGTCAGATGTTAAGAAAGGAAAGCCACAGAAGCGACCATATAGAGATGAAAGCACACTGACAGAAAGACAGAAAAGATTATTGAACAGACTTAAACAAACAGGAGATAAACAAGATATAGATGACTTCTGGAATGAAATCCTTGGTGAAAAGAAGTTTTATAAGAAGAGAAGCGGTCAGTTCTGGAAGTATCTTTGCACATTACCTATAAATCTTGAACGCTACCAAATCTTCAATGAACTGAACAAAAGAACTGCAACACTTATGACAGAGACAATTGTTTCGTTTATGCTTGCATTCAGGCTGGAGTAAATGAAGAAACTATTGACCACATGAGAGAAGTCATTCGTGTTAGAGACTTTCCTCAAAGTAAAGTACAAGAAATTTCTGACGCAACAGGTATAGCATTTAATGTTACCATTGGTTACTTCAATGACTCAAGACATAATGAAATAAAGAGATACATACCAAAAGAATGTAAACTGTTCGAACTATTGACTTACTTCTTGTTGAAGACCACTACATGCTAAATGAAAGACTTCCAATGACAACATATTTCATTCGCAACTATATAGAAATCTTGAAGGAGTGTGGTGGAATGAACATTGAGAAACAGATGAAGATTTATACAAAGAGAGAAGATAAATATGTAGTTCGCATGGATAGAACTACACCGCTATGGGATGTTATGAAAACATTGTGGGAGTGCAAATATTTCGAACCTATTTCTTATGGAGAACTTTTCACATATACGACTGACTTATATAAACAGAACCTTGCACCATTTAAAGATTTGACATATGCTCCAAAGTATTGTGTACAACTGAAGAAGAAAGCCGAGTCAAAAGAAGTAAATAAAGCTAAATGTAAGTTCATTCCTGAGCACGTTTTCTTTGCTGACTTTGAGTGTAGTACGGATGGCTTTCATAAAGCTTTTAACATCTGTTACGACAGTGAAGATGGTTCAGTGAGTGAAAGCATTTGGGGTCAGAACTGTGCAACAGAATTTTTGGAACGACTTCCTGACAAGAGTTTAATATATTTCCATAACCTCAGTTATGATATAAACTTCATCTTAAGACACATGACAGAAGTGAAAGGAACTCCCATCATTAAAGGTTCACGAACAATGCAAATAACTGGCTTATATAAAGGAAGGGCAATTATTATAAAAGACTCTTACAGTGTTATAAATAAGAAGCTTAAACTATTTCCTGCTATGTTTAACTTACAAACAGGACCGAAAGAAGTATTTCCATACAACTACTACAGCAGTGTTTTGTTAGCAAATGACAACAGAACTGGTGTCATTTCTGAAGCATGTAAGTTTATCCAGGATGCAGATACATTTATGAAAAACATAGATTCCATCAAAGGTTGCAGAATAGATGAAAACCATTTCGACTTAGAAAAGTATAGCACATTTTATTGCAAACAAGATGTAAGAATTTTAAGAGAAGGTTTTGTTAAGTTCCGCAATGACATATTGAAAGAATTTGATTTAAACGTTTATGACTACGTTAGTATTTGTTCAATTGCTAACAAATTATTTGAGAACAGAGTATACTTCCCGAATGGAAATCTTTATGACCTCTCAAATAAACCAAGAGAATTTATTTCGAGATGCATTCAAGGTGGAAGATGTATGTTGTCAGATAACATGAAACAAAAGAGCGAAAAGAAACTCATTGCTGACTTCGACGCTGTTTCATTATATCCATCCGCTATAGCAAGACTTTATACTTTAGAAGGAATTCCAAAAGTATTGAAGGATGAGATGTTAAGTTCTGAATATTTGTTAAAGCATTTATTCGATGACGACCAAAAGGAACCCATTGGTGAAAAGTTTATGTCTGGCTTCTTTGTTCTCATTAAGATAAAAGAGATTAGCATACATAGACACTTTCCTTTAATAGTTTGTGACCCTGAACTAAATCCAGAACTTAACGTTCCCAGAAGTTCAAACTCTTGCTGTCTCATGTATGTTGACCATATAACATTACAAGACCTTATAAAATATCAAGGTGTCAAATGTGAAGTGTTGCAAGGATACTACTACGATGGAAACAGAGATATTAGAATAAGAGATGAAGTAAAGAAGTTGTTTGAGTTAAGGTTAAAGTATAAGAAAGAAGGAAATCCTTTGCAAGAAAATATAAAGCTCATTCTGAACAGTATTTATGGCAAAACTATTCTATCTCCTATTGAGTCAAAAATAACCATAGTAGATGACAAAGATGCTATAAGATATGCCATCAGAAACTACAACCATATAGTGAAGTTCGAAGGTTTGGATGGTTCAGATAAAACTATTTTCAAGCTAACGAAAAGCATTTGCAGACACTTTAACTTCTGTCCACTTGGTGTTAACATTCTGTCTATGTCGAAGAGAATAATGTGTGAAGTATTCTGTACTGCTGAGGACTTAGGAATGGACATCTTTTATAGCGATACGGACAGTATGCATCTCTACAATGAAGATATCCCTCGTTTAGCTGAAGAGTTTGAGAAACGTTATGGAAGAGTTCTCATTGGTAAAAACCTTGGTCAATTTCATAGCGACTTTGCAGAAATCACAAAAGATAAACAAAGTTTAGCATACAAGTCAATATTTTGTGGAAAGAAGACTTACATAGACTTACTCACGAATGATTTAAATTAAGTTGCATTTCACTGCAGAATGAAAGGCGTGAAGCAAGATGTTATTGCTTTAACCGCTAATGAAATGTTTCCTGACTCTGTTCAGTGTTTCTATGATGAAGATAAAGGTTTAATGGTTCCGCAAGGAAAATTTGACAAAGACTCTGAGTTCAGTGTTATGAAACTTTACAAAGCACTTCATGATGGTCAAGAGATTGGATTTGACTTATGTAAGTCTTCTAGTCATTGATTTGCTGAAAAGTTTAACTTTTCTATTCAGACTAAGACTTCATTCATAAGAAAGCTTAAGTTCTGAGGTCATGAATGAGAAAAATAATAAGGTCATTTATTTTTGTCAGCAATGAGGTCATTCGTGATAAAAATAAGCCGCTAGCGGCAAGGGCGAAGTCCATGTGGTCATTTACAATACTGCGATGGTAGAGTTTAAGAGTTGTGCTTCAATGTAGAGACAGTCCTTATGGTCTGGAGGTAAGACACTGGGCAGTTATGGTCATGAGTGGAGAACATGTCTATCCAAAACTCACGATTGAAGCCAGTTAATTTATAGTATTTAGGGTTAGGAAGTGGTGAAGTTCTTGTATGACCAATGAACTCATTTTCAACTCCCTTACTTAAGTTTGAATATAATATAGCTTGCTTTCTATCCCAAATGCCAGGTGTTACAATCTTTGAAAATTCATTTTTCCTCGGAAGCATTGCATCATAATTGAAAACATTCTTGAAATCATCACTTGGTTCAGAGATTTGAAATCTTATACGTAATGGATTTTCTTTCTCTTTAGCGACTTCATTGAATGGTGAGAATACAACAAACTGACAGTCATGTGTTCCATCTTCATTTTCATTAAATTCATAATGAAAGTCTATAAGTTGTGGCTGACTACCTTCTTCTTTCAGTTGTGCAAGAAACTCACGTAAAGGCTGTAAAGTTTGTATTTCAATGTTGAACTTTTTCTCGAACATCTCATTAAATGAAATCATACATTGTTGCAATGTTGTATCGTCTTTAAAGTATTTGTATATGTGAATGTTTTGGGCGCTTAAAGATTGTTCGTCATTTTCTATCTCGACTTGAAGTATAAAGTCAACCTTTCTGAAAGCATGTGTTATATACATAGATGTTATGCCAATGTACTTCTCTTCATTTATGTTCACAATCCAGTCTGTTGGAAACTTAAACGTTACTCTGTTCCCCTTTATTTTGACGTCAGGGTTTTCACTACTGAACGCAACAGATAAAGGTATAGGGTGTCCAAAGGTGTGTTTAGCACAAACCTGAATACTGCGAATAGAAATAAACAAGTTACATATATATAAAGTTTATTTAAATATAATCACCATTGGATTCAATCACGCGTTCGCAGCGATCGATCCAGGCTTGAAAGACACGCTTTAAATCATCATGAGAAAATTGCTCAAATTGCTCTCTTACAAAATTTTCAAGATCATCTGGACTCGCGAATTCGCGTCCTTCAGCTCTCTTTTTTAGCGTGCCGAATAAATAAAAGTCAGAGGGTGCAATATCAGGTGAATAAATTGGGTTTGGAACAACTTTGACATTGTTTTCCACCAAGTAATTCATTACCTTATGACTTTTGTGAACTCTTGAATTATCAAAATGAATTGCAAACTTTTGTTTTTGTTGTTTGGATTTCTCAAACTCATCAGAATTGATAATTTGAGTAAGAACATTGTCAATTAGATACTGAGCATTCATCGCATTAGGTTTTTGAAGAATATCAATTGCGATGATGCCATTCACGCCCCAAAAAACCGACAACATCATCATTGTTGTGTCAATTTTTTTCTTCGGGAATGTTTGCGGATTTTCATCCTTCGGGATCCACATGATTTTGGCTTCTGTTGCATATTGAAACCAAGACTCGTCCCCTGTTACTAAAAAGCGAAACTTCTTGGATTGATACGCACCAATATAGAGAGGAGCTCTTTCGAAGATTGGACTCTAGATTTTTTTTGAACTGAATTAAGGTTGTGCGGAACCCAACGTGTATACGCTAGTTTGTAGTTCAAATAATTGTGCAGATAATAACTGACTGTTGTACGTGGTATCTTTGTCATCTCCTCTATCCTTATGAGTGATGCTCTTGGGTCTTCATCTAGCGCTTGAAGAATTGCTTTGATTTTTCTTTGATCCGGCGATTTTTTGTCAATTTTTATGATGGGCGCCTTTTTGTTCATGAAGTGATACATCCTAACATGATACGTTACAGTGGAATAGCTAGGTGCATCCATACCGAAGCATTTTACCAATGTCTCGTAGATTTTTTTACAGTCTTTGCATTTTTTTGCAAGAGCGAGGATGTTTTCTTTATGATTCATTAAAAAAATGAAAAAAATCCCGCCAAAATTTCCCGCGAAACCGCCTCTTGTCTCAAAATTCGTTTTATATCCCGGCATGGCGCCAAAATACAACATACTCATCATATACATATATTCATATTTTTTATTATATATTTATAATCAGCATATATCTCCTTTAATAGTCTCATATAGAGCGCTGTGCTAAACGCACCTTTGGACACCCTATATTTGTCTATACATTTAGTTCCGATAAAAATAACCCATTTACTCTTTCTTTGCTTCAGCTTCTTTAGCTTTTTGTTCTTCCTTTGCTTCAGCTTCTTCTCTAGCTTTTTTCGCCAGTAGTCTTGGGTTCTTTTGTCTTCCAGCAGCTAATGCAGCAAGTTGTTTTTCACTAAGTTTTCTCTTTGGTCTCTCTGGCTTTTGTTCTTGTTTTTGTTCCTTCAGTTCGGATAAAATTTGCTCACGAATTTCTTTCTTCAATGCTTCAACATCTATGACCCCTTGGGTCTTGTCCGTAGGGCTTGTCTGAGTCATTTAACTGCAGATAAAAAACAAAATTAAAACTTTAACCGATGTAAAATGAGCTTATCAAAATCAGAGCGAGAGTCTATTATATTAAATGACGCAAGAGGAATACAACATCCTTTCTATTACGTAAGTCAGAGTAAAGATGGTAAAATATACGTAAGAAAAAGAAAGGTTCCATTAGCGAATGCAGAAAGCGACAACATTAAGGTGTATGGCAAGGGTGAAGTCCACGAAGCCCATATAAAACCTTCTATTCAAACTGAAAAGTCAATAGAACCAGAAGAAAAGAAGCCAGATGTTCTTTCAATAACGAACCAAGAGCTTATTACAAAGTTCGTGAATTTCATTGAAAAGCAAACCGAGTCAAAGAACCCTGACCCACCAGTGAAAGAAGTTGAGACAAAAGAGAATGTACAGTTCATTGAAAATGTCAAGAAACAACTTCCACCACGAATGCCAAGAAGAAGAGTGAGAATAATGAAGTAAATAGATATTTTTATCCGAAGTAAATACATGCAGAACGAACAGTTAAACGAATTTACTCCAGCAGAGCATATTCATCAGATTCGCTCATATTTCGATATCATAGACAATGCAGTTCAAATTGGTGACACTAATAGAAAATATTCTGACGCAAAGATTCCATCACAACCTGGAACTGCTAAAGATAACACATGGGTAACATTCAATCTCTCACCTCCTGGTGAAAATATGTTGGACCTTTACAATACATTCATTACGTATAAAATGGAAGGTCAATTATTGCAGATAAAGAAATTGGTTCAGGTTCCAATAAAACAAACCCACCAGGATTTTGGATTGGTTTCGATGACGCTTTCTATGCAGTTGCTGGATATCAAATCCTTGCAAATGGTCGTATCGTATATTCTCAAGACAACGCAAGAGAAGAAGCATATATAACTTCAAACTCACAAACTACCGAACAAATAAAGAAAGTAGATGTTTTCTCAAAGACTCGACATGAAGATGTATGGAGTCATTCGGGAACATGCAGAACAGGACAAATTGTTAGTGGTCCAATTACAGCAGGAAAATCATTTGATTTTAAGCTTCGTTTAAGAATTCCTGTTAGAAAATTCCTTCCATTAGAAGCTATTCGATTTATTCCAGCTTTTGCAGGAAACATTCAGCTTAAAGTAAAGTTCAGTAGCGACGCCTTACAATGCACATCTATATCTGTAAATGATATCATTGCTTTCAATCCAACTCTTAAAGTTGCATTTGCTTCAGATTCAAATCCACCGACAAATAAATTTGTTCCATGGAATGAACCATTCACTATGATAACGAAGGCAGTAGAAGCTAGTGGAACAGTTACTATTACAACTGTAACCCAGCAACTATTTCGAACAAAGATGGATTTTAATGAATGTTTCATTCATCCAAAGTCATTCTCTTTAGACCCTAACATTTATACAGAACTTGTAGAACATTATACAAACGAGGCTTTATGTTTTCCTGTTAAAGTTATGGATTGGATTCCTATGGACGGTTCATTCTCAAAGAATACAGATAGTTCAAGTGCAACATTTACAGCAGCTTATACGCCTATTAATGTTAAAAGTATTTGGGCACTATTTAGAAAGAAAGACAACTATTATGTTAATTTTGAGAACCCTAAGTTTAAATATCTTCAGCTTTCCATGGGAGCTTATGGAAATATGCCTGCAGAACCTGAAAAATCATATGGACCTGTATTTTATGAAATGGTTGCGAACGCTTGCAATACAAACAATGATATGATTGGATTTAATGAAGATGTTATGAGGTCATTGTGGATGATGGTAGTGTGGAACATAAATGGGATAGCTATGACAACACACATTTCTTATGTGGTTTTCCAACAGAAGTGGACTTTTGCTTCCAGCAAGGTCAAACATCTACTGCTCCAATAACATACAAATTGTCTGTTAAAGGACCTATTGAACTAGCAACTGAAAATGTACCAAAGCCACTTATTGGATTTATGAGGGATTGTTGCTTTGCCATTCAGGTGCGTGCTAATGGCATCCCCATAATAAGATTAGATGACTATAACTTAGCTACGGACGACAGTGAGGAATAAAGGATGAACGTTTATTTTTAAAGCTTATAAATGAGTTCTTCATCAAGCTCTCGTGAACCTTCACCATCTATGAAACAAACTTTACCAAACGATTATGGAGCACCTATTGAATATTTCTTACGAGCTGCACAATGGCAAAGAGCAGTCTCACCAAGGTTAGGTGTTCCACCAGCTCCTGTCAAAAATAGCATTTGGTCAAGTCCTTATATAAGATATGGTCTCCCACTAGGTTTGCTAGCTACAGCAGTAGCAGTTATGATGTTGAAAAGAAATAAAGCAAATGTTGTAAATAATACTGAAGTAGATGAAGTTAAACAAACTCCAACACCTTCGCCAAAACCAACGCCTTCACAAGCAAAGCCTTCAATGACTCCTGAACCTATGGAAGTACAAACTCCTGTTCAAAAGTCAACTCCTAAACCGACTCCAACATTTAAACCAGAACCTACTCCTCAAATAAATCGTAAAACTCCTGCGTTTCCTTACTGAAAAAATAACGTTATTTTTATTTAATATTAAAATTTTTATTTGATTGAAATGACAAATAAAGTCACTGAAGCAATGAAACAAAAGTTTTTGGTAGAATACATTAAATCAGGAACTATTCCAGAAGGTTTTTACATTCATACTATGAAGGATGGTAGAGTTCAGTTTAGAAAGATAAAGCAACCATTAGATAAAGAAGGAATTTTGAGAAAGATTAAACTTCATGAGGACAACATTGCTGAACTTAAGAAGAAGTTAGAAGAGTTGGAGAAAGGAAGAGAGTTATAAAGCAATGAATTCAACAGGGTGAAAAAACAGGTGAGATCTCACCACTTCACCTAAATTTATTTTTGTGCTATGTTTTCATACGTGTGAGGGTGGTGATATCATTAATTTTTAAGTTTATTTTTATATAAATGACGAAAACTATTGAGATAACAAACTACAACGGTCATGAGTTCAAGAATTTGTTCTTCGTTCCTCGTGAAAATACATTCTATCAGATACGAGGGAGAAAGGGTAAAGTTAGTTTGAGCGTTTATGACTACAAGCATAATGGAAAGTTTATACAAGCATATGATACAAACGGTAAGCGTGTTTCATTAGCTTTGTCAAAACTTACAGGTATAAACTATGACAGTGATTTTGACCTATATGAAGAAGAAAGTGAGTCAGAAGATTATGAGCTGTTATATGAAGCACAGCAATGGGAGGAGTTGCAATACTTTTGTAAGTGAGAACGTTTATTTTTACATTAGTGAAGTCGTTTGTGAAAACATTAGTGAATTCGTTAGTGAAGTCGTTAGTGGCTTTGTAAATATTTAAGGTTAAGTTAGTGTTGTCGTTTGTGTTGTAAAATATACGTTAACGGTTTCGTAAAGTGTCAAATTCACATATAATGGGTAAGGAGGCGCGCAGTGCCGCCGTACCCATGATATGTATACTAACTAAGTTCCAGGAACTATTTCTGACCTTCTAATGGCATTGTCGCATTCGTTATACCATTCGGAAACATTTCCGTTCATGGCATCCAAAACTGTTGGCGTTATATTCTGAGCGGCGTACATTTCATATGGGTAAAAATATAGAATAGTTGGATTTATGTGTCATAATAGAACCCACTCGTACCAAGCTTTACTTTCTTCCTGACTGAGTTTTTAACTCTTCTTTTTCCTTCATTGCCACTACTTTCACTAGATGAAGTTACTTCTTCACTACTTTCACTTTGTTCTACTCTTCTCTTCTTCTTTGGTGTCGCTTTTGGTAACTTGCCCTCTGCTTCAAGTTGTTGCATCTTTGCCTCATGTTCACCTAGTATGTTGTAAATTTCCCATGTCCTTTTTGCCTTTGGGCTTTGGTCGCCCATCTCAGGTAACCTATATCCTAGAAAGATTTTGTCATAGTTTGTATTTGAGTCTTCGCGTATTGTTTGCATGACTCTTTCCTGAGTTTCCGGTTCAAGCTCTTCAAACAGAGCTTGTCCATATGGAATAAGCTCGTTTCCAAATATATGTTTTTGTAGCCATTCTGGTTTTCTTTCCATGTAACCAATAATATCTTTTGTGAATGGGAAAGCTTTTACCCAATGTTTCAGTCTTGCGTCATTTATTTCTGTAGTTGGTTTTATTTTGTCAAGGAACATGTTTTTCAATACTAACATTTCATTTGGTACTGTCCATTTGAGTTTTCTTAAATATTCATCCATTCTCGGTTCATTGTCTGCAAAGTAAGTTTTTATGACATTTTGCAAACTTTCGTTTGCAAGGTCATGTACAATAGGTTCTCTTCCTTCTCTCTCCCTAACTTTCTTTCTAAACTCTTCACCAAATATACCATCTCTATGGTTCTGTGTAGTTCTTTGAGATAAATGTTCTAGAACGTCAGGTGTTATATTTCCCTCAGCCATGTTCATTTCATACTGGTCCAAAATATCTGCATCTTTCATATCTTTCAATGGCATTAAAGCCGCGCTGAAAATACCCGTTATATCTGGTTCACCATTGACTTCCATTGCGTCTACAACTTCTTGGAATTGAGGTTGTAAGTTTATGAACCACCTATCCGGATTAGCTTTATGACCCCATCTCATTGTAGTTCCATAGTCTGCAGAAACAAAAGTAGGTTTGTTTCCATATTGGTTAGGTTCTGAATGAACTTTAAACAATGTTTCATTTCTATATGTTTTGTTGAAATTTAACCTTTTATTTTCACCGAGTTCAGCCAAAGATTGAACGTTATATGGTCGTAAGTAAAAAGGATTATTGTATTTGCGTACATTTTCTTTCAGTACTTCCATTCTATGCTGAATATTTTCATCTGATGTTGGAGTCTTTTGTATGTCGGTGAACATTTTTCGATATTCTTCTACTATGTCAGCCGAATTTTTCTTAGACTCTTGGAAAGATTCCATATTCACCTCATACTCTTGTTGGGGGTCAAGATTTTTCGGCTGTTCCAAATCTTCATCTAGTTCTGTGAAGTTAGTTTCCAAAGGAGGGACTTGTTCGTTTCCTTCAGGCTCTTCTAGCTGTTGTTGCTGAACTATTTCTTCCATGTCTGGTTGTATCTGAACTTCTTCCTGTTGAGTTTCTTGTACCTCATCTGCTGGCATTTCATATATTCCGAGACCGTTTTTAACAAGTTCCCTATCTAAGTCATCCGGACTCATAAACCTTTCTTCTTTCGTTCCGTCTCTATTTTTTACGCGTTTCATGAAGAGAGTTGAATTATCATTTAGCTCTGACATCAAATATCTCGGAGTAAATTCATTCATGTCATTTGGATGATATGCTATTAAATCATATCCCTTAGCGAGCTTGTATTTTCCAGGTTTGAGATTATATCCGATTTTATGCTGAACCATAAAGCTAAATAGGTTCGGGTCAGTATTTCCTTCCTTGAACTTTCTAATAGCTTCTTTATATCTGTCACTAAAGTCAAGAGTATCTGGGTAACCATAATCTTCCTTAAGCATTTTTAAGAATTCTTGGTTTCCTTTTTCTCTACTTCTTTTATGTCCTTGCTCTGTTTGTGGTTGTTGTTGTGCAGGGTTTTGAACTGTTGGTTGTTGTTGTGGTGCAGGTGCAGGGTTTTGAACTGTTGGTTTTGGTTGTTGTTGTGCAGGGTTTTGAACTGTTGGTTTTGGTTGTTGTTGTTGTTGTGCAGGGTTTTGAACTGTTGGTTGTTGTGCAGGGTTTTGAACTGTTGGTTTTGGTTGTTGTTGTGGTGCTGGATTTTGAACTGTTGGTTGTTGTGTTGGTTTTGGTGCATGCCTGTGTCTGTGTCCATGTGACGATGTAAATGTTTTAGGTAGTCCTGGTGCAGGTGCTTCTCTTGGAGGGTTTGGTGGTATATAAGTTCCACCAGCTGGCACATATGTTCCATCTGCAGCATAATGTCCTACCTGACTTTTCGTTCTTAAGAAAGCATTTACTAGGTCTGTTTTGGTCTGTTGTAACTCTTTTTCTTGACTTTCCACAACAGTTGTTCATTACATGTGCTGGAATTATTGTTTGATGAATTGAATAATTTAACTTATTTTTCTGCTATTCGGTTCATTCCAATAGCGGGGGCAAATTTATTTGGAAAAAGAAATTTAATGATCAGATTGAATGAGGATTACCCTATTTTAACACTATAATTACTCTTTAATTAAAAAAAGTACATAAATAATTACTAACGATTTTGTAACAAATCTTTTACCAAAAAGTAGTTGAAATCATTCAAAAAGTTGATTTTGAAAATTTTTTAGAAATCCATATAATTTTGCATGAAAACAAGAGTGCTTGAAATCTCCTAATGAAACGACGATCAGTTAACACGGCTTGAATTTGTTGGAAAAATCGGAATTTTTATCATTATCAAATACTAAAAAAAATTAATAATTTGATTTTATTGAATAAGTTTTAAAATTCAATGTTATACAATCAATTGGGATAAAAATCAAGAAAAATGTATAAGATGCGTATCTTACACTGACCACTGAATAAAATTTTTATGCGTCAAAAATTTTTGCTTTTGAGACCGAGAAAAATTTTTCTGTTTCGACCAATTTTAAAAATGCAAGTTAGCATTCTCTACAACAACCAGAATCACGAGTTCAAGCTCCCAAAGGATGCCAATGCCGGTGTCCTTATGGATGAGATCACAAAGAAGTTCGAAATCCCAAGAGAAAAGCAAAAAATTATTTGCCGCGGAAAGTCACTCAACATTCCAGATCCACTTTCCGAGGGCATGAAGATCTTCCTATTGGCATCTGTTGCTCCAAAGATCAAAGCTTCCAAACCAGAGACAAGCACAGTCAGAAATGTGTTATACAAACCACAGATCATCGATACGCTTCGTGAGCCACAGCATAGAGGCATCATCAATGCTGGTCTCCCAGAAGGATTCATCGCAACAAGCCAGTTCGAAACCGCTGTTTTACCAAAAGTTCCATTCATTGTCAAGAATACAGAAGGCGTCAGGACCACAATCTCTTTTGAATCAGATGCCCTCTTCTCTGTCGCTGATGACGGCAAGACAGAGAGAATATACACTTCAAGCATCAAAGCGATGAAACTTATCCCTATTGACCAATACCCAGGTTACATGGCCTTAGGTATGATGACAGAGAATGGAAACAGATGGTTCTACTTCGTTCCTTCTCAATACCAGAAGCTCATTCGCGCAATTCTCTAATTAAGTATGATACTATCTATTTTTTTGTAAAATCTTGTCGTGTAATAAATCTTTTATCTGTATAAATATTACTGACCCCTTTTAAAAAACAGTTTATTGTTCAACCAAAAATCGTTATTTTGAACTGAAAAATGAACAAATCATAGAATTAATAACTTTACTATAAACTATTGCTTAAAAAAGATCAAATCTCTATTATGAATCAATAATTTTGAGATACCGAAATAAAAGATCGGAATTTTGATCTGAAATGAACCTTTTCGGATTAAAAATTGCCAAAATTATTCATGTTGAGTAAAAATATATCATGTAAAACAGCATACAAAACAAAATTTTAAAAAATAAAAAATAAAAGTCTATTCTTCATAAATAACATTAAATATCTCAGCAATCTTTGGTAAATCCTTAATTATATTTGATTGGCAAACCCATACATCAGTAATACCCTTGTTATTTCTGTAAATCGGCCCATCAGCTTTTCCTAAGCGTCTCTGAGCAGCTAAAACGTCATCCATGAATATAGATAAGTCAGATACACCTAAATTGTAAGATTCTTCCTCAAAATTCAAGTTGTAAAACCTAAATAAAGCAATTTGAGTTGGAACTTGTAATTCTATCAAAAACTCGATCGGTTCACCGTATTTACGTTCAGCAATCCAAATTTCGTTGACAGCCACTCCAACTTTCTTTTCTTTGAAACAATTCAAAGGACTTGAGTAATTCGTGGCTCCGTCGATTCGTAAATATCGAATATCTGTCTGTTCGATGACATTTCCTTTGCAGTCGAATATATCAATGCAGTTAAGTCCTATGTGCATGTCTTGATCTGTGAAAGATCTGTAGATTCGAATCATGATTTTCGATGTTTTTCGGATTGGTAGGGTTCCATAGGCGTCTTTAAATAACTCATTGAAGTATGTTGTGAAGTTAACAAGCTTAAGAACTGATTCTGAACTTGGAGTTATCATTCTAGTTAAAGGAAGGACGGCTCCGAACTGTTGAGGAACTTCCTTTGATCCTACGAACTCGTTTTCGAGAAAAACTGCAAATTTCTTCATATTTCGTTCAGATCTATCTTCTGTATTCCAAATACGAACGAATTTTGGTGGTTGACATGATGTTATCGTAAAATGAACAACGATAGGTTCTTGGTTTTGTTTCCAGCTATGAATCCAACGTTCATTGTCATTTGCTTTAACAAGTACTCCATTTGACATTAAAGCAAACGAGTTTTTGTCTTCTGTTGGGATATCCGGTGAAACTTTAGTAACCTTCAAAGAAGATTTATCTTCTCCCAAAAAATCAATCTCTGATACAGTAATTTCATTTGGATCACCCCAGTTGCTCATAATATGGAGTGTGATTGTGTAATCAAGTTCAAAAGAAGGTAGTTGCGCTGGTTTATACGAAAATGAATTTTTTCTTCTGGCCAATTTCATTGCTTCGGATGCATCAGTCGTAGAATTTACGCTTGAAAAGCGACGAGAGAGCTTTCTAGACATGGCTGGAATTCCTGGAAGAGGACCCTGAAATGAAATTTCAGGAAATGGCTGATTCAAAACTGTGGGTTCGGTAGACTTGTGTCCCTCTTTTAATGGCATGGGCTTTAAAGAGGATGGTCGGACCCTAGGTAAAGCTGCTAAAGTTGGCTTTGTAGACATTTGAATTTTAAAAATTTTTTTATATCAGTTATTTTGGAAATGAGAATGGAAACTATATGGATGCAAATAATATTAATATTGAAAAAAATTAACGAATTAATGATGATACAATAAGTTTACATGGGCGGTTTAAAAAATTTATTGAAAACCTTCTCATCACATATCTTTGTTATGCAATATATATTATTATTAACAATTAAAAAAATTCAATACTGTTATCAATTAAAATTCAAAATAAACATTGAGATTGATTTTCTATTTGATGTGAGTTTAATTTTCTATCCAAAAATTTCAATTATCCAATTTCAATACGATAAAAAATACGAATTGCATATCACCAACAATATAGACTCATCATAAATTTCTCGATTAAATAAATTTCTTTCAAAAAAAATCGCGAATAAAAATTTTTTATTGACAACTCCGAAATTAACAAATATCTTCAATCGAAAGCTAAAGTAATTTTGAAGATATGTGATGGGAAATGTTGACATTTCTGACTGAAGGCAGATTTCATGTCTGAGCAAGGGAGAACTGACTCTCCTCTTCTTGCGAAACTCCCTTCAGACATTGTAACTGCACTTAAAAGGAAAGCCAGTCGCGATCCTAGTTCTAGATTTCCTAAAAAATTACATATCTTACTTACATTTCTTGAAACAGAACCTCAACTTCAAGATGAATTTGGTTTGGGATGGATAAATGATTCGGAATTCCGCATGAACAAGAAAATCGTCTCCGAAATCATGGGAATCAAACTAAATACTTTGAATGTTAACCTACGAGATCTAGAATTCGTGCAATTACAGCATGATAAGAATGGATGGACACGTTGGTGTCGTGATGGCTTTAATAAATATACGATTTTTACTGAATTAGAAAATCCGAATTATACTGGGCCTGTACGCCCTCAAAATCCAGGTAAAATAGCTCGTCTTTCAGATACTAAAACAATCAACATTGCAACAATGCTTAAAATCGGTCATGTTTCTGCACAAGAAGATTTGAATTTCCAAGAAATAGTAAAATCTGACTTTTTGGAAATAACACAAAATGAAATCGATATGCCTGCAGAAATGTTTATCAAAAATGCTGCGAATTACTTTAAACAACCAGAACAAACCTTAGAAAACGCGATAGATGTAATTACTCCAATTTTACGACCTCAAGAAAATATAGTTACCTACGATGATTTGTTCCGATTTCTTGCGATGTTTGGTCCCAAAAATACAGTCATGATAAAAATTGTTTCATTATTGAGGTCAAACAACGAAGATACATCATGGCTATACCTTGATCCTGCACAGAAACCACTAGATAAGGATTTTACAGGTACATTCGATAAATATCTTCCAAATTGTCTTGTTCTTAAATTTAAAGATGGAAATGTGATCCGTGTATTCAATCATCCTTTAATAGATGCTTTTGGAACTTACGTTGTTGATGAAAATAATCATCAATTTGCATCATGGGAAGAATTCTTCCAATCTTTTGTTAGATAATAAAAAATATAAATGTTATATATCTAGTTAAAACTAAATCTTTCCTTTTTATTGATATTTGAAACTCGATTTTTTCCAAATTTTTTTTGAAATTGGAATTTTAAATTAAAAATTCTTGAAAATGAAACTCATTTTTTAATTTTCAAGAAAAATTTGGAAAAATATCGAAAAATAAATAAAGTCAAAGGGGTTTATTTTACATAGAAATGCATTTTTGCAATATTATTTTTTTCATAATTCATTTTTTTGTAAAATTCATATTCATTTATCCATTAACAATGAGTTTGGTAGACGTTAAATATAAAATTTCAATATGCTTGGATATGTATCAATAGTGCACATATAATGCTTAATCTTAAAAGAAAAATTCTTTAAATATATTTTTTATTATTTTAAATTTGATCCAGAATCCGTAGGGAAAATAAAAAACGAGTATCTGCTTATCAATAGTTTATTCATAAAACTCTGTAAATAAGTAAAATAGAAACTTACTCGGACAATTTATTCGTAAGATAGTTGTAAACGAAGAACAAGTTCTTACTATTCAATCTAGTGAGAGTATTGTACGTATTTTTTGCTTGTCGTTAGTCTTAAATAAAAATGTACAAAGTTCATCAAACAGATATATTACGATGATCTCTGAGACGAATTGTTAGCAATTTGTCTGAGTACTTCGAGTATTTAATGAATATATTTTGAATTTTGTTTATTCGTGACATTTCAACGAATTCAATTGTAAATCTTTAATACCTTCCCATATATATTTATCAACACTGGTATAAGATGATAAATAAAAAATTGAGAAAATGGTCAAATATTAAAAATGATAGAAAAATTTTGTTAATGAAGATCGATCAGCTACAATTAACAGGGTAATGGTACTGGTTAGCTAATGTACGAACTTCCTTATCCTTGAAAGGCATCGTTCGATTTTTGAGGTAATTGTTTCATTGTGGTCGGACAAAAAAATGAACATCTTGAGAATTATGTTTCCCATTAATGTATTTAGTGTTACTCCATTTTTAATTTTTTACTTTCATTTTTTGTTAATTTTGGTTTGTTCGGATGGCGATTAACTCAAAGTTTCCAATGAGATTTAAGCTAAATCTCAATTAATCACATACATCATGAAGCTTCTTTTAAGACAGTTAGCTGTCGGAATGAATACCTTAATTTTTAGATTTCACATACAATCCCAAAAAGATAACAAATTCATAATGAACTCATACAAGAATATCAATGCCCATATGAATACGAACATGAATACTGAACTATTTCTTTACCTTTGTAAATTTGCTATTCGTAACTTTTTGATGGATAAATTCATTTTAATCATACTACCATACTTTAATTTGCATATAGGCTACTTTAATTTCAATTTTCCAAATGAAAAAACTTTCGATTCCACGATCTGAAAGGACATATTCTCGATCTTCAAGATTACTATAGAGTATCAAACAAAAAATAGATTTCACGGATTTAACTTTATTTATAACCAAATTTTACTAATCAATCAATTTGGAGAAATCAATTTCGACGAAATTTCAAAAATATCGTTTAGCTACATTAATATGTAATTATTTTTGTGTAAAAATAAAAAATTAACGTTAGCTTGGATAAAATTTAGGAACGTTTTAGCAAATTTCTATAAATATCGATTTAATGGAATATAACATTTTTTTCTTTCATAGTTTTATCTAAAATTTTTTATCAGGAATTTGAAAAATTCGACCATATGATCAGGAGTTCATAACATTTTAATATTCTATCAATAAGTATTCCAGAAATCATCATTGTTTTTAACCGAAGTTCGAGAAAATCTATTGCTCAGAATTGCGAAATATTTGAATCAAGGAAAACCGATTGAACCATAGAAATTCAGTGCGGTTTTGGTCAACAATTAAAACGTTCAAAATGACGATGGACAATATCGGGGTTTTAATATAATCTATAGTCCTCTAGTATAATATTTTAATGTTGGCCACTTGAATTTTTTTTTATTTTTTGAATCTCGTTTGTGATATAATTTTTCATCGGTTTCAATAAAAGTGTATTACTCAATGATATTAATATTATGCATCAGAATAAAACGACTTTGAAGATTTTGAATAATGAAAAGAATTAAAATAAAGAGTATTGATTTCACGATGTAGATTTCAATTATTATAAAATTAATGTGTTTGGTCAATTTCCAATGAATTTTTATTCTGTACTTTACGCGTGGCTCATCTCATCGGCTTTTCATTTTCGTCAATGTCTGTTCGTGCGCAATCCCGATCATCGTCATTCATGTCAACGAAGGGTACTCCATCACCATTAGAGTTCTCAACTCTCCCACAAACAGTTTTGAAAGCGGAATACGCCGTTCGTGGTGAAGTTCCAATGAGAGCCGACGCATTGAAGAAGAAATTACTTGCTGGTGAAAAACTTCCATTCGACAGCATCATTGCTTGCAACATTGGTAATCCATATGCTGTTGGCAAAAAGATGATTAAATTCCCAAGACAAGTTCTTGCATGTGTAGAAGATCCAGATCTCTTGGAAGTTCCTTCAATTCCTGAGGAGGCTCGCGAGCGTGCAAGAGAAATCCTTAAAAACTTCCCTGCAGGCATGGGCTCATACACTCATTCACAAGGCTTAGAATTCGTCAGACAGCACATTGCAGAATTCATCAAGAGACGTGATGGCGGCGTTCCATGCGATCCAGATAAAATCTTTATGACAACAGGAGCTTCATCAGTTGTTTCTGCCGTTTTGAAGATGCTTATCAGTGATCCAAGTGTTGGTATCCTTACTCCATTCCCAACATATCCATTGTACACAGCCGAAATCACTCTTAACAATGGAAGAATCGTTCCTTATTACCTTAAAGAGTCTGCTCAGTGGGCCATGGACGTCGAAGAGCTTGAAGATGCTTATTCCAATGCCCAGAAGGAAGGAATCAACGTTAAGGCCATTGTTATCATTAATCCAGGAAATCCAACAGGATCTGTCATGACAGCACAACAAATGCGCCAAGTCGTTGATTTCTGTGAACAAAACAACATCCTTATCATCGCTGATGAAGTTTACCAGTACAATATTTACAATCCAGAACGACCATTCATCTCATTCAAGAAGATCATCGCAGAAATGAAATCATCAGTACAGCTTATCTCCATGAACTCAATTTCCAAAGGATTTATGGGAGAATGCGGTCATCGTGCCGGATACATGGAATTATTCCACATTCCAGACGAAGTTAAGGCCCAATTCTACAAACTCGCATCAATTGGTCTTTGTCCTAATACAGTTGGCCAGATTATCATGGATATAATGTGTGCTCCACCGACATCTTCCGAATGTTCCAAAGTTTGGGAGGAACAGAAGAACAGAGAGCTCCAAAACTTAAAGGAGAAGAGCCAGACACTCTACAACTGCATCAACAGCCTTCCAGGATTGAAATGCCAACCAGCAGATGGAGCAATGTATCTTTTCCCATCAGTAAACCTCCCAATCAAAGCTCTTGAAGAGGCAAAGAACCTCAGAATCAAGGGAAAGACACCAGCTCCTGATATGTTCTGGTGTTTGCAACTTCTCGAACAAACAGGAATTGTTGTTGTCCCTGGATCAGGTTTCGGACAAGTTCCAGGAACAAACCACTTCAGAACAACATTCCTTCCTGAAGCTGAGAAGATGGACGCTGTCATCGACAGATTAACCAAATTCCAAACTGAATTTATGAATAAGTATGGCTAAACAGAACAAATTAGCCAAATTATCTTATTTTATTTATATTCATTCTATTATTGTATTAAAAATAAAAAAATTTTGTTTCTTTCATTTTATTTAATTATTATTCCGTTTTTCAATTAAAATTTCAATATAATTGTCAAGTATACACGGATCAAATAATAAATAAACTCGGCTTAGAGTTTTTCTAAGTGGAAGATCTGTGCGATTCATGTATTTGAATATGTAAATATATTTATGTTGATATTTGATATCATAAAACAATTTACACTTAGTTATTTGCCCGACCGAATATTGTGAAGAGGTTGTTAATCTAAGGTGCCTTCCCATTCAGCCAGTATCTTGCTTGCCACTTTAAGTCAACAAAAGTTCTCAAGGAGGATCAATTTTCTGAAAATTGTGTGATGGTTTTAGAATTTGCAAAACATTAAACAAAATTGTCAGTACATTTGCCGTCAACATGCTCTATCCAAATAATTATTTTTTTTTAATGTTCCGACAAAAATTTTTGATTGAAGGAAAAAGTGACAAATATGATTCGGTAATTTTTAACAAAATCATCATAACAGGAGAAATTTGGATCTTTATGAATCAAAATCGATTTTGCATTCAAAAAATGGAATTTTTCCGCCACTGAATTTTATTTCATAATTTTCATTGAAAAGTATTATCTGAATACTAAGAATCATTTTATTACATTCTACTCATATTCAATTGCAATTCAAAATTGAATCCAATAGCCAATTCTATTGCAATAAGGTTATTTTTTGAAAGTGCTTAAAGAATAAAATTGCATGAAATGCTGATTAATATATAATTTCAAGCATTTTTAATCTATTTGAATATCATTCAAAAATCGTTTACACTTTTTTAAATTAAAGATATATATTTCAGAAGAGAACAATCTCAGTTTTGTTGTACTTAAAATAATTTGTAATTCAAATTGAATCGAATGGATTAAAAATTGTTTTGATACTTTGGGATCTATTCATTCGCAGTGAATTATATGTGTATAATTGCACAAATTACCTTGATTGTCAACCATTTAGAAGAGATCTTCCACCAGGTCGATACAAACTTGAAGCGTGGGGTGCACAAGGAGGCAATGTCACATATAATGGAACATTATATGAAGGCGGCAGAGGTGGTTATGTCAGTGGTGAGCTGAATATTTCTCAGCAAACAACTCTTTTTATTTTCTGTGGTGAAATGGGAACTACTGAAATATTAAGGCATGCTGGGGATGGCGGTAGAGCTATAACAATATTACGAAACACATTTGGAGGAGGAGGGCGTGGGTTAAGTACATATGATGATCAATTCTATTCATCATCAGGAGGAGGAATGAGTTTCATTTCGATTGGTGAAGCTAAAAATGAAAGTGGAATTCTTTTTGCCGGTGTTGGTGCTGGATCTGGTGCTGGAACATTTTTTAATCGATATACATATGGTGGATTTGGAGGAGGAGTTTCAGGAGGAGATGGATCACGTTGCAGTGGGTATTATAGTAATTCACGATGTGGAAAAGGTTGTAGTCAAACAAGCTCTGGAACAAATTATGCAAATTCTAATAATAATGGTGGTAAATTTTATGGAGGAAATTGTGAAGCTTGGGGCCATCATGAGGCTTCAGGAGGTGGTTCTGGCTATTATGGTGGTGCTGGTGGAGATTACTTTTCAGCTGGTGGTGGTGGAAGTTCTTTCATAAATGATTCTTTTATCAAGAATGGAATAATCATACCAGGTAACGAATCAATGCCTTCACCATACTCATTCCCAGAAAGAATGATCGGCAACCGAGGCCATGGATGCGTGAGAATCACACCCATTGTAATTAATATAGAGATATTAACGCCAAAAAGAAGTTGTTATTATCCTGACACGAATCTGACATTAGATCTTATATTATTTACACATAATTTTAATGATGTATACAACATTTCTAGAACTGTTAACTCATCTGGTCTACAAGATTATGAATTAGTTCAAACACATCAAGATGAAAGCCAGAATTATATGTTTAATGACACGTTTAAAGTACCAAGTGAAAGAGGTTATTATCAAATTTCTTATTTCATGTTTTCTGAATCAGAACCAGTTTATAAAATCGAAGACTTTATTTTAGTCAATAAAGTCCCAGAGATATATTTAATACAAGAAATGAAGAAATATTATAAAAGAGGAGAGCGAATCACAGTCGAACTCGAAGGAATAAGTCTTGGAAACATCACATTTAAATGCAAATGTTACGATAAAATTATAAATTCAAGTTCAGAAATGATTTCGAATGATTCATTTGTTACAGGTACAATAGAAATTGATCTCAACAATTTCCCTGTTAGTTCACAAATTCATTTTGATTTTTATGCAGTTGATGAATTTGGAATAGAATCTAATATTATTCAACAATATGTTTTGATTGTTGAAAGGAATCCTCTAGAGATATCTATCAATCAAAACATATCAACATATTTCAATTCAAATCAGAAAGTTATCATCCAAGGACAAGTTAATAATGATACAGAATTTAAGATGTATTACTCACAAGACAAGAAGCAATTTGAACAAATAACAAGTTTTAAATCTAATAATGAATTTTCAATTGATCTTGGAATTCGACAACCAGGAATATACAACATCCTATTATATTGTATTGATTCCAATGGATATAGGTCAAACATTATTAATCATCATTACATTGTTTCAGCAAATTCTTGTATGAGATCAAATGATGCTGATTCAAATACTTTCCAAGCATGCAATCATATTAGAAGAAGGCGTTAATCTTATGATAGTCTAATTTTTATGTTTTTTAATTGTTTGTTATGTAAAATCTTTATTATACTAAATTATCATTTGATTTTATCACAAAACTTATTATATCTTAATATGAAGGAAGTCATTAGCTGAATTTGACTCAAAAGACCAATAAAACATTTAGAAAAAGAGTTAGAACAGAAAATGTGAAAGAACAAAAATCATCACACTCAATGCTGGTAACAACACTCTCTATATCTGAATTGTAATGTTCAGCACGCAAGACAAAAATTCTTATCAATTTTTTAACTTGAATAACAGGAATATCTTTTTTCTAAATGAAGTTAGAAGTAATACCGAAATATAGAATTATGTGAGATTTCTGTAATTACTATGCTTCAGACTTCATTCACATTTCAAAAGTTGTAATATGTTTCTCTTACATGATCTTTTGAGACTGTTATAGTAATGTGATATATATCATTTTAGTTCAACTAATCTAAAAAACTATTGGAATCTATATTTGTAATTCATGAGTCTAATTGTGAGCTTTACAAAATTTACAAGACAAAATTTTCTGCTCTCATAATTATACTCATTAATTTCATATTATTTGCCAAATTGAAAAACAGTTTCACTCATTCAATTTATCTCATAATATACAAAATTAAATGAGTAATATCTGATATTTTAAACACTGAAAGACATCCATCAATCATTAAAAGAAAATAGAATAATAATTCAATGTATCGATACAATGTCTTCACCTTTATCATCAATAGAAAAATCGCAGACAACTGAGAGGATTGATGCATGGGATTCATACATAATAATGCCAAACACTTTTTCCAGTTCAAGGTGCCCTTACAACTTTCTGACACCTGCTCAATTTTTTTATAAACTAGATAAAATTAACATCATTTATGAGGAACTGATATAATATTATGTATTGGCATTACATGCCCTTATAGAATATTAACAATAGAAAGAAAAAATATGTTTTATTAATGTGAAATCATTTTAATAAGTAAGAGTGTCATTAAAAAGGTGGGGAAATTAAATACTACCATTTGAGTAACTTCTGAGAATTGAAAACTTTCTGACACCAACATTTTTTATGGATTTTTCAAAGTCTTTGACATTTTTGAGTTTTTGTGTCAGAAAACACTCAATTTTTTGTTAAACTTAATAGAGATCTACAAAGTATATATGTAAACATTTCATTTCACTCACATTTTGTGAGACAGACACGAAGAATATGATTTCAAGTTTATATTAGAAATAATTAAGTATAAGTTATATTATTTTGTATATTTTTTATATAGAGATTTAAACAAATATAGTGGTTTGATGTATCATATTTCAAATAACAAAAAAATGTGAAATGAGGAGGAAATCATGAAAATTTAATTAATTTATTCGGTTATTATTAAATTAAGCAATTGTGTGTTGTATATCTTTAAATATTGTAATGTTTTAATATATTTATTTATGTCATTTCCCAATTAATTATCATAAGATTTGATTTCTGTAGTAAGAAGGAACAATTTTAAAGTTTTTGTTGTATTTTACTGCTGGAATATCAATAGAAATATATGATTTTCATAATTTATCTTATAGAAACAATGTTATTCGGAAATTTCATTCTGATGTTCTTCTGAATTTATCAAACCAACCACTGATGCACTGTATATAAGTATACAAATCATGATGAAACGTTTAAACGGTTTTGAATTTGATTTTTGATATGATTTCAATGAGTTTGATGATTTTGAACAAAATGGCATTTTCTGACAAGAAACAGATTTTAAGAACTTTTCACAATGATACTTTGGATTCTATTTATTTGGACTGAACTATATGTATATAATTGCACAAATTACCTTGATTGTCAACCATTTAGAAGAGATCTTCCACCAGGTCGATACAAACTTGAAGCATGGGGTGCACAAGGCGGCAATGTCACGTATGATGGAACATTATATGAAGGCGGTAAGGGTGGTTATGTCAGTGGTGAGCTTGATCTTACTCAGAAAAAAACTCTTTTTATTTTCTGTGGTGAAATGGGAACTACTGAAAAAGGAACATGTCATCCAGAATATTATGAAATAGGATATGAGACACGAAACACATTTGGTGGCGGAGGGCGAGGGTATGGATATAACGGTACTAAATTCTATCCATCATCAGGAGGAGGGATGAGTTTCATTTCGATTGGTGAAGCTAAAAATGAAAGTGGAATTCTTTTTGCCGGTGCTGGTTCTGGATCTGGTGCTGGAACATATGAATATAATCGTTATACATATGGTGGATATGGAGGAGGAGTTTCAGGAGGATCTGGATCACACTGTGGAAATACGTGTGGTACAGGTGCCACTCAAACAAGTCCTGGAACAAACTCTGAAAAATCTCTCAGAAATGGTGGCAAATTTTATGGAGGAAATTGTGGACAAGATGCTGGATGGTCTACAGGAGGTGGTTCTGGTTATTACGGCGGTGCTGGCGGATCTTATTCTGGTTCTTCTGGAGGTGGGGGAAGTTCTTTCTTCGATACTTCATTTATCAAAAACGGAAAAACAATTGCAGGTAACGAAGAAATGCCTTCACCTTTTTCAGAAACAGAAAACATCACTGGAAACCGAGGTCATGGATACGTCAGAATCACATGTCTTGTATATTATATTGAGATAATTACTCCAATTAGGAGCTATTATTACCCTAGTTCAAATATCACTTTAGAACTTAGATTATATTCATTAAATCTTAATGAGAATGTCAGTATATATAGAACAGTCAATTCATCTGCTCTTCAAAATGAAGTATTAGTTCAAACCCATCCAGATAATGGCCAAAATTATGTTTTTAATGACACATTTAAACTTCCAAGCGAAAAGGGTTATTATAAAATTTCTTATCGCACATCTTCTGAATTAAAACCAAATTTTACCATCGAAGAAGTAATTTTCGTCAATAAAGTTCCAGAGATATTTTTAATACAAGAAATGAAGAAATATTATAAAAGAGGAGAAAAAGTCGCAGTCGAACTACAAGGAATATGCGTTGGAAACATCACATTTAAATGCAAATGTTACGATAAAATTATAAATTCAAGTTCAGAATTGATTTCAAATGATTCATTTGTTACAGGTACAATAGAAATTGATCTCAACAATTTCCCTGTTAGTTCACAAATTCATTTTGATTTTTATGCAGTTGATGAATTTGGAATAGAATCTAATATTATTCAACAATATGTTTTGATTGTTGAAAGGAATCCTCTAGAGATATTTATTTATCAAAACATATCAACATATTTCAATTCAAATCAGAAAGTTATCATCCAAGGACAAGTTAATAATGATACAGAATTTAAGATGTATTACTCACAAGACAAGAAGCAATTTGAACAAATAACAAGTTTTAAATCTAATAATGAATTTTCAATTGATCTTGGAATTCGACAACCAGGAATATACAACATCCTATTATATTGTATTGATTCCAATGGATATTCAAATATTGTTAACCATGATTACATTGTTTCACCAAATTTATGTATGAAATCAAATAACCTTGATTCAAATACCGTTCTAGCCTGCAATCATATTAGAAGAAGACATTAAGGCTCCGGTCCCACCCTCTCAATTTTAAAAGTTTTAATATCTCCACCAATATGAGTTTTTGATACTTTTATTTTAGTATATAATATCATTATGTAATACACTATAGTATAGTATATTTAAACTGAGTATTACTATTATAGTTCATCTTATCTGAGAATTCGGTATTTTGACAAATTTCAACTTTGACCGGTAAAACTATTTATTATCAAAAAAGCCCACGACATTTTATAGCATATTAGTGATACATTATATTGTTATTAGTAAACTTGATTTTCAATCTCTTCTAGATGAGTTATTTGTTTTTTTGAAAAAATCTGACAAATCACTTTTTGACAGAATCTAAAGATTTTTGATTTGTCAAAGTTTTAATAATATGATAAGGTTTATATATGCTATCAAAATATAATAAAATCATATAATATTACATTATCGCTATATATGTCGAATATTAAAAAATTGTATATTAACATTTTTTGTCATATCTTGATAATAAAGAAAAAACTCTCAGTTCCCCTTCGACAAATTGTTAGAATGCAACTAAAGTTTATTTTGATATAGTGAGTTTGCTTCTAAAAAAATATATGAAAGAAGAATTAGATTTGCAAGACCCCTATAAAAAACCATTTTTGCGTCGAGAATAACTTCATGCACGATTAATTGATATGATAATAAAAATCATATATGATAATTACTTAATATAGGCAACAATATTGTATTAATCACTTTTTGTCAAAACGGTTTTTCGATAATTGAGTATTCAATTTTCCAAAAATCCATTCAATAATTTGATTTATAATTCAACGTATAAGAAAAAACTCTCAGTTCCCCTTCGACAATTTGTAAAGAAAATTATATAGTTTCTATGGACACTATTTGTGTATTCTACCTTCTTCGGTATTTCGAAGAATTAGGTTTGCAAATTTGATATTTTTGATGTATTTTTTCAAATTGAGAGGATTTTTGACGATAGAAGTAGGTGTTTTTTGAATTACAATTTTATATTGATGTGCATGATAAAAATTTGAACTTATATTATGGTGACATAGTATAAGTCATAAAGTATTAATATACAAAAGATATTATCAAAAAATTCCTTTCCAATATGTATAAACAAATCGATTTTTTAAATTAAATTTAAACCTTAAACTCAATATATTAAAAAGTGACATTATTTTAATTAGAAGTACAAAAATCCATAGTCATAGAATTATCAAATGATTGAAAATTGTTATAATTGGGCGCATTATACTCATTTATGAATTTACTATACTATATACTTTGTGAATTTAAAAATCCAAATTTTCAATTTTTAAAATATCATTATTTATCATATATCAAATAGTAAAGTTAGTATATATCATGTTTAAAACGATAATATAGTATATAAATTTTAAAAATAGATAATATTTAATTTTTACAAAATATTGGTATATGTGCAATCTATTGGTATATTTTTACTCCTTATTAGATACTCGTCCTAACAATATGCAGCAATCATGCAGGACCGGAGCCTTAATATTGCAGTACTCTAATTTATATGTTTTTATTTTGTTTGTTATGTAAAATTTTTATGTTATTATTATTTTTTTTTGAACAATCATATACTTCTATTCATTCTGCAATATGATTTATCATTCTAAGCATATTTCTTCTATCTAACATGCGAATATATTGAAAACTAGACACCACAGTAGTTGAAACACTACAGTGTATTTTCAATCATTAGATATTGATGCTTGGAAATATTTGATTCGTTTATGCATGAAAAGTAAGTTCAAGAAATAGAGGAATTATATAATATGAATAAGAACTTTTTACTATCATCATGAACTACAATATCAATTGGAAAACAGAAAAATAAATAATTTCATTCATTCAGAATCTTAAAAGTTATATTCAAACATAGGACAATTACACGGTAAATATATATACATAAACATGTGAATAACCATGGGTTGGAATTTGCCTGTTTTTAACCGGTGCTGGAGAGATTATATGTAAAATTTATGTCCTATTGCCAAAAATATAGGCAAAGGTATAGTTATTGATTCATTGGTGATAATACTGAAATTGTGAAGGAAGAGTGACATTTCTTCTTAGATGTCTGGCCTTTCTTAGAAGCGTTATCTTTTCATTTGATCTAAAATCTATTTAGTGTATATGTGAAACAAATTCCTTTTTTGATTTCTAATTCTCTTCCTTCGAATTCTAAATTTCAAAGAACTTTTTTTTTCTATCGTCAAAAATCATCAGAAAAAAAATTCAACGCTTTCGTTGATTTTGGCGGCCAAGCGATGGCTGCATGTCAAGGTCCATGAACAAGCATTGAACATGCAGCCATATGGGGTAGAGAAAGGCTGTCAAATAACAGTTTTTGTTGCAGGCAAAAATTTGAGTTCAATCAACGTTTATTTTTTCAAATCATCCGATCTTAGCATGCGTAAATCATTTACGAAAGAAATCTACGATAAACCATCAAAATATTCAGTATTTTGTATCAATATCGATACTCAAGAAAATTTTGCACAATACCAGATCATTTCCACAGGAAATTATGTATTACAACCCATTGTTTTTAACAATTGTGCCCAAAAGTTCAAGATTCTTATCAAATACAAGAATCCAAAGAAAATTTGTGATAGCCGCGACCAATTTATGCCCCAGATACAATTTTTCATTGGTATTGCATATTCACTAGCATTTATCTCATGGATTATCAACCAAATTCTGCATCCACACTTCGTAATTAGCTTACACACATCATTTTTATTTTTCTGCCTTATCGAGTCCATTTCTAACTTTTTTTCTGCATACACATGGAACGAATATAGCATTTCCGGCCATATTTCTCAAACGTTACTTTCAATTTCATCATTTTTGAAAATTTTTTCAAAATTATTTTTCTTGGTCACCAATATTCTTGCAGTTTTCGGTTGGGGGACATACAGGATTTCATTAACCGCCAAAGAAGTACTTATTTCTATCTCCACGTCCTGTTTTTACTGTTTTTCCATTGAATTAGCCGAAGCAGAGTATTACTATCGTATCGTCATGGTCTGTATCGTTGAAATAGCCGCTCTACTACTTTGCCATTCAATTATGGATGGAATTTCCAATGCTGGGCATATTTTCGGGTTATTTTCAAATTCTGATGAGATTTTGATGATGAAATTGCAGATGAACATCAATTTCAGCTTCCAAATATTCTCTATGTCTATAATTATGACCATTATTTCGAGTATTTTGATATTATTATCTTCTCCTGCTTCAATTATAGTTATTTTTGATGAGATCATGAATTTTATAATACTAGGAATCGATATGAAGTGGTTCTTCTTTAATAAAAGCTACGAACCAACAAAATATGATTCATCTGCGGAAAACCATTATATAGTAGAGACACCGCTTGACAACGAAATATATCTAATGCAAAGCGAGTAAAAATATGTTTGTATTTTTGATAATTTACATATTTTTTTAAATTTGATTTTTTATATTGGGTTATAAAAGAAAATTACATATGGTAAATACCATCTCTCTTGACATATATCACCTTATTACTAAAATGCGGTCATAACATCCTAAAAGATTTTTTCATTGATTTCTATATTATGGTATTAGTCTAAAATTCATTAAAAATATATTTTACATTCCATCTAAGTGAACTAATCCTGATGCAGAAATGCAAATATATGCATTTATTTCACCGGAACATCACTATATTTGATTTGATATATATTAGAGCTTATCACGTAAGTGTACCCAAAGTATTTTTGTTTATCTTTGATTATCCAAGTTCAAACACATGTTTTTGAAAATTATATTTGATATGATACAAATCAAACGTGCTTTATGCCTGAGAAATGCTTTAACTTTGCTCATTACTGATAAAAAAGATGATGAATCAATGTAAATACAACAATGAAAGTAATTATTTTTTAAATTCTTACAAAATAAAACAAAAATATAAAATATAAATAGAAAAAGTGGGTTATGCTTCCATATCTTCCAGTTTCTCCTTGACTGTACCACTCAAAGAGAAATCATCAGTATTTTCTTCATTTTTCTTTTCTTCTTCTTCGTTTACGAAATCGTTTTCTTCTGGTTCTGGCTCTGCAACAGCGTTTGTAATGAAAAGTTCAACATCATCTTTATTAGAAGCTTTATCTGGTGAATTGCTTTGTTTGGACTCGGATCTTTCCCTTTCTTTCCTTTCAAATTCTTGGATTTTTTCTTCATCGTTAGGAGCAATGAGATCTGGAAGGATTCTTTCTCTCTGAGCAACGGGTATGTGCGTTTGAGCATGCGCTGGCATGATTTTTGTAGATTTGACGGGTTCTTTGAGTTGTTCGATTTGTTTTTGATTAATTACGTTCATTCTGTTATCGGATTGCTCTAATTCAATCTTCTGTTGTGCAATCAAGCACTCCAGTTGATGGTTGTATTTGTTTTCGAAGGTTTCACGCTCACTATTTTGTTTATTTTCTAATTTACGTTTGGCTGACTTGTAATCCTTAATCATTTGCTTTTGAGCTGTTCTGGCTTCTTTTTCTTCAAGGGCATCAACTTCTTTCTTAACAATTGCGGCACCATCGAAATCTCCAGCTTTTGCAAAGCGATCTTCCTTATCGATCAGCTCTAGAAGTGCTGATGATGGTTTTCTGTATTTTCGTGGCATCTCTGTTCGCCATTGTTCTTCGAATTTTTCAGTTTCTTCGTTTAATTTTTCGTCAAGCTTTTTCCTTTTCTCGTTGAAGCGTTGGGTTAAGTCATCACGCTGTTCCTTGTGTTTTTGGATAAGATCGTTTCTATCTTCTTCAAATTTATTTTCAAGAGACCGATCTACGACGACTTGTGACTTTCTAATAGACAATTCACCATTTACAAAGTCAAATATTGAGTTTGCCATTTTGGCTTCTGAGTAATTTCTTTCTTTTCCGCATTGAACAGCGTATTCACGTAAATGTGCTGTTAAAACAGTGAGTTTTTCAGTTTCAACGTCTGAAATACTTCCACCATTGGCTATATCTTCGCGTAATTGTATACATTCTGGATCATCTAAGTAAGATTTCATTGTTAGATTTTCGTTATTTTTCGGGGTTTCAGGCTTTTTGTTTTCTTTCTTAATATATGAAGGAATTGGAGGTTTCTGCTTTTGTTTCTCTCTTTCTATCCTTCTTTGCTGAGAGGGTTTGATGATATTTCTTTCAGCCATTTTTGCTGTTTGAATTCTGGATTGTGCTTTGGAAGATAATGATATTCCAGCTGCTTTCTTTGAATGAAGGGACTGCTGGTTGTTGTGATTTACTATTTTTTCTCGTTTTTCCATTTTTTTGAATTTTTTTTTTGTTTTTGTACGTTATTCATTAGATCATGATAATACAAACATTTATAATCTCATAAATATAGAATAGCTTGATAGTAAAAAATCGATTGATAACAGAATTTTGGCTTCAACTTGTGTTTTTGAATTCGATATTTCGTTTGCTATAAAATATTTCATAAATTATTCTTAAGAACTCTATACAAGGATTATCTAGTGCAATACACCACATGATCTTATTATATTTACTATGATTTACTTTGAGATGAAATATTAGTAAGGATAAATATTAATATTCTTGTTAGAAATACACATACTAAATATCATGCTAGCATTTATTAAGTCAAATAGCCGGTTAATACAAAGCACTGAATGATCTTCAATATTTAATACAAATCTGAAAGATTTGATGAGTATAATATAAGGAACATGTAAGACAATATGTGTCTGATCATATTTTGATATAAGAATTTCCGGTATCATACTTTTAATAAGTTTTTACACTATTCCTTACATCCAATATTATAATGCCTAAAATTAGACACTCTTTATCGGTTATTTAGATTTATTAATTTAATATCATTGTTTACGCTATTTTCATCGAATTTAGATTTACATCTTGGATGAAATAGATGTTTATATTGTTATTTCCGCATTCATGACTATAAATTACTGATATCAAACCACAAACAATCAAGATCTTTTCACCCTATTAATTTAATTTTGAAGAAGCGAATGTAAAACACAAAAACGACTTTATTCAGTCTGTGTAGATACGAGTATAATATTTTCCATACCATCAGCGGATAATAATGATTTCAGTGTTTCTTTATTAAAGTAAAATTAATGAAAAGAATACGGATTAATTCTTTTGTAGTCATTAAATCAAATGCACAAATTATTTGTAAGTTTCCATTTTGTAAAAATTATAATAAATATTGAAAGAACTATTCAAAATATCATTACACTTTTTGAAATAATTTCTAATGTTTTGAATTTCTTTTGACGTGATTATTGAATTATAATATTATATCAACAACTGAATTTAGAACACATGTAATTCGAGTTGCAAAATAATGAACGTTATGTATTTTATTTATATATCAGTTTGTTTAATTACAAATAGGCTAATATGTTCGAAATAAATTCAATTTAAAATTTGAAAAATAATTCAAACCATTCAATAACTCATTCAATCAAGTAAAAATCAATTCAATTTCTAATTTAACTGACAACAGAAGCTTTATAATATCTTACGATAGTACATTTGATCCCATGACAAAATTGAATTAAACTATCAAAAGTTATTTAACATCCCCATTATACTATGCATTGAATCGGAATAATAATGTACCAGATCCTGCTCACAATTTTTTTTCTCTCAAAGAAGTTGGCCAATTCAGGAATCATTTAATATAAGATATCTAGTTAAATTACTCAAAATCGTATCATCAAAAAGTTTTTTATCGTCAATCAGAAAAAAATATGGATAATCAGTATGAGAGCCTTGAAAGATTAATCCTATTTGTTTTCAATTCACATGAATCAGCTATAATCTCAACAGACAATATATACCAATACATTCAGGGATTAACCTGCTCAATTCGCATTGACAACGATTGGACACCTTCTACCGCAATATCCAAGTGTCAAATTGTTCAGGCCTTGCAAGAGTCAGACCGTTTCGTTCATATAAATCGTTCAGCGGACGATCGTTGGGCTTTGAGTCTCCAATCCACACTTGCGATCTCAGATACAGCATTATTCGATATGATAAACAGACTCCTCGTAGAAAACGGTCCTCTTTCCATTACTCAAATGACAGCTATGGCCGAAATTCCAGATGTCGATAGTCGAAAATTGATGAGGTTTTTCACAACCCACGCGGCAGAATTTTCACCAACTCATACCGGAACATACTGGTTTAAGGACACACCGGAACCAGAAGTCCAAGATTATTGCTCTATTGATAACGCCATAAACGCTGCACTTGGCATCCTCAAAGAGGCACATCCACAAACAATAGCAAGAGCCTTATGCCTTTCAACGGTTAGTGGTTCCAAAATTACAGAATCTGATGTTTCATATCAACTCACTCATAATCCGGATTTATATCAAGAAATCCGTCCGAATATCTTCAGAGTTTCCAGATTTATGAAATTCAGATCATCATTTAAGTCCGAGTCGTCAGAATCAGAATCAACCTCAGTTGAAAGCAGCAAAGCTGTTTTCAATCCAAACGATTTCTTCAATGATCACAGTCCGATTCGTTTTGCGCTTACAGTTTAATTTTTGTATGTATTTTTATTTAAATTTGGCAAATAATTTTAAATTTGTTTTTAATTTCTATCTTGTCTCCCTCTCTTTTGATTAAAACTCTTTCATTTGAAAAATAAAAAGCATTTTATATATTTATATATTGTTGGGGCATTTTCTTAGGAGAGGGTAAATTTGAATACCATTCAAAAGTAAAAATTCACAATTTGTTCGATTTTGACATATAATCTATTATTATATATAATGTAATTAAGAAAAAAAATAAAATGACCTGCATATATTAATTATTTAGATTGCAAGATTAGTAGTATATGTGGAAGGGTTTTGTGACTTTTTTTGTAAACGTAAGAATTCATACAATATCTAGCGATTTTGTATCATTTTTTTAACATATGAAGTAAAAAATGTATGATTCTTACGGTTTTTATTCTTACGGTTTTTGAATAAATCAAGATTTAAAAAATTTTCAAAATTGTAAGACATTTACACTCAGCCCATACATAATGAAATAAAAAATAAACCATTAAAAAAAATTAACATTAATTTTAATGGTTTATTTTATCTTTTATAAAAGAAGCTATATATAGATGATGTTATTCCGCGATTAATTAAACATTGTTTAAATCCTGAATGGAATCGGCAAACCCAAATTTTAGCTAAAAGTGACAGGAAAAAAAAACGTTTAGTATTAAAAAAAAGACCGATGAGAGCTTCGTTCGAAATATAGAGGGAACTGAGAATGCGCAACCATTCTCAGGGAATATTGGATGCTATTCCCGTTCCCTCTGTATGGAAAATTGAGGTTTTCAAAGGGAGTTAAAATAATATCAAATTTATACTAATTTACTTCAAAATACAAAAGTATTTGACAGCTAAAATTAGTTACTTTAGCAAGCCTATCAATACCCTTTTACGATTATTGCTACTTTTTCGAAATAAAATAAATTTATTATCAAAAACCTTTTTTTTCTTAGTAAAAATAAAAATGTTATTTTATATCAAGTTTTTATTCATAAATTTTTATAATGTTGTATAAATTTCATTAAAATTTACGTACATATTAAGGTACTTATCTTCTACATATATAATCTTCATTAGATATATACATGATAAATAAAATTCATAAAACATTAAAATCAAAAAATTAGATGAACCTTGGCAATTAAACTTTATTAAATAATAGTTGTTTATAATTATATTATATTATCATTTAATATTATTTTGATAATGAAGATTTTATTTTGCAATAATATAAACGAAATTTTTTACCTTATGAACTTTTGATGGAAATATGCAAATTTAAAATAATAAAGAAAGCCGCGAGCGAAGCGATCGGCTTAGTTCGAAGATTTTGATTCAAATCTTTGCTGATCTGTAATTCGCGGAAGCCGCGAGCGAATCGAGCGGCTTAGGTCTAAGATTTTGATTCAAATCTTTGCTTATATTCCTTAAATTCTTTATGAAACTCGCAACAGTTCCATAAAAAATTTTAAATTCTAAACTGTCGAAATTACCGATCGGTAATCACACCCTTCACGGGTGTGTCACTTTTTACAGGTGTGTCACTTTTAGCTAAAATTACCCCTACTCAATGGAATCAATGAAGTCATAATCAAAGACCTCATAAACGAGTAAAAGAAATTAAAAATTCATGTCTTACGAAAAAATTAAAACTTAGTTATGTTTATTATTTTATTTTTTTATTTTGTATGAAATGAGCGTCAAAACTAACAACGTTAAAAAATTAGGATTCACAAACGAGGAAATAAAGGATATATTAGAGGAGGTGGGTTATGAAGTTGATAAATATTATTTAAGAAATTGTCAAAAATTTGCCGAGTTATTAAATGATTTAGATTATGATGGAAAAATGAATAAAGATGATGTTATAAATTTCTTATATCCCACATCTGAAGAAGAAAAACCTAAAGAACCTGATGTTTTCCCTGAATATTATGAAGAACGATTAAAGATGATGAATACGATGAAATTGAAAGACTGAAAAAAATAAGAGATGAAATAGATGAAAAAATTAAGGAATTAAGAGAAGTTGAAAAATATAATGAAAATGAAGTAGAGGGTTTAATGAATATCCCAGCTTCAGAATCAGAAGTTCAGAAATCTCATGTAGAAAGATATAAAAATTATGTCTCAGAATCAACACAAAATTTATTAGATGGTGAAATAGACGAAACACTTTCAGAAGAAGGTACTAAATTTATTCGTAAACATAAGTTACAATTTATTGATAATGAAGAATACCCTGTATCCTACTTTCACCACCTTTAGATTCCAAAAATTCAAAAAAGCTCTTAAAAACGTGACATATGCAACTAATACGATTAAGAAAGAAGATCATGATATTTACACAAATTATTATTTAAATAAATGCACAGGTGTTGATAAAGTTTTTGATTTATTAGATAAAAAATCAAAAGAAACCATTGGAACCTATAAAATTTTGTGTGATTGTGGTTTCATTATTGAAGATACAATAATGTTTCATATGAAAGAACAGCACCGAAGGAAGACGAAGTGGAAAGGTCTATACCATTCGTTATTAAGAATATAAAAGATATGAAAACGTATAAGCATTATATTTATTCATTTATTTCAGAAAAAATGGAAGCAACCCATAAAACATCTTCTCATCATTTTATAGCTATTCATACATTCCTTTTCAAAGTTGTGAAATTAAATAAGACAGGAATTAGATTTAATGTATCAGGGTACGCATTCTTGAGTAAATTAAAATGTATTCGTCACGTCGCAGATGATAAAAATTTATGTGTTCTTAATTCATTTTATGGGCTTTAAAAAATAAACTTTATTTTTATTTATTTTTTAATTTTTTATTCTTACATAAATGAACAAAAACGGAACAGCTAAAATGAATGATAATCAAATTAGAGCAGAAGGTAGAAGGTTATTTAAACGCTTCTATAACATTCCTGATGGTGTTAATCCTAAAACTCGTAGAAGCTATTTAAATGAAGCAATAGATGCATATGAAGGGTTTGACATTTCATCAGAAAGTGAGAGATTAGCGAGAATGTTAAATGTTAATATTGATTTCTATTATTGTGATCCTCAACCAGAAGACGTGGACATAAATAAGGTAGACTTTCCATTAGTGGAATCAATAATGATAGATCCAGAATTTGAAACAGTAAATATTTTATTAACACAGAGTCCATGTGGAAAACTTCACGCTGACAGAATAACAGACGTTGAAGCACTCACCGGCTATAAAGTTTGTCCATATTGTAAAGAAGAAGTTTATTCTATCCGTGATGATCCAGAAAGGAAAAACCAAAGAAGATTTTTAAAGCATTGTGAGAAATGTAAAGAAAATAATGGAAGATTAATTCAAGACGTTCAATTGCAAAAGACCAGCAACCATATGCACCACATATTACGAAACAGAAGATATATCAGTGGTTATTAGCTCACAATTTGCAGAAATATTATAAACCGACAAGATATTATATTACTTTTGACTTTGAAACATTAGAGACTAAAGAAGAATTACAACTTTCTGAGTGTGCAACTTTGAACGCTTACTTAAAACCATTCATGGTATCATCAACGGTTAAATTAAATGATAAAACATATACGCGGAATTTTTGCTTAACTTCGAGTGATTCTTTTATTTCTGATTGGATTGAGTTTTTATTTTCAACCTGTTCATTAGTTGCTAAATCAAATATTGAACAATATGAAGAATTATTGAAGCCGCAAACGGGGGGACTTTGTCTCATACATTAAATGAAAAACAGAAGGAAGCATTTAAAGAACTTCTAGATGAGGAATTCAATAAAGTGAATATCATAGGTTTTAATTCGGGAAAGTTTGATTTAAATTTAATTCTTCGTGATTTAAACACTGCAAAATGGAAAATAAAATCAATGCTGGGTTCATCTTCACAATTTAAGCAAATCATTGTAAAGAAAACAAACGTTCCATATGAATTGAGATTTATTGACATCAGAAATTATATAGCGGGTGGGACATTAGACCAATTCACTCAAGATTTCGGAAACAATAAATCACGTGTTAAATCCTTTTTCCCTTATCAATTCATCACATGGGAAAATTACGAAGAAGAATTATATAAAGAGGAACCATTCACGAAAGATTCATTTTATTCAGCATTAACTCAAGAAACTATATCAGATAGTGATTATCAAATATATCTCAATGATGCTAAAAATTTTAAGAATAGATTAGAATATTTTATTCATTATTGCAATAAAGATGTTGAAATTATGATTGACCCAATCGATAAAATTATTGAAGAAACATTTGTTTATAAAATTGACATGCTTCATAATCTTTCTTTATCATCGAATGCTTCAATGATTCGTTACGCTTTAGCATATAAAGACTTTAATCCTAATGAAAAATATCCTGAGGAAGAGATAGAATCAAGTTTTGAATTAACGAAAAAGTATTGGAAATATAAAATTGAATCATATAAGAAACAAGATGAAAAAGCAGAAAGGGATACTAAAAATAATGTTTCAATGGATGATTTTCAATACTATCACGATTTAATCCTTTCATCTAAATGCAAAATGTGTGGTAAAGCGTTTACATATGCAAATAAACCAACATTGGATAGAATCGATAATGAAAAACCACATACCAAAGAAAATTGTCAGTTAATGTGTTGTTATTGCAATGTCGTAAAATCAAATAAAGATGAAGATGTTCAACGTTTAAGAATCAATTTAAGAAATTATGCATTAAAAAATAATTTACCAATGACTTTAGATTCAGTTGAAGCTTATCACATTCTCCGTAATGGAATTACTGGTGGTCTATCAAATGTTCAACATAGAGTAAATCTTAAAGGAATCACGCACATTAATAAACTTTCATATAGTCCAGAAACTAAAACTGTATCAAATGAGGACACCACCAACATTATGACTCATTTCGTTGGTGTTGATTTTAATTCATTATATCCTTCATCATTTTCATCTAATCCTCATGATTTCATTCAATATACTGACCATAAAATGTATATGCCGGGAAGATTGAATGGTGTTATCATTTGTGATACAGCAACAAAGAAAGCAAAAGCACTGGGAATAATTAGAAGAAAAATACTTTATTCGTGGCTGAAGTAAAGGGTCACATTGATGAAAAATACATTAATGATTACATAAACTTTTTACCGATAATAAGAAACTTAGATATTATCACAGATGAAAAACAATTGCAGTTTTATGTATAATTACATGAAATCAAACAATCTACCAGTTGACCAGAAACAGAGGAAATTAACTCATGTTAGCAATCAACACACAACCAATATCAACCATTTTCTTCTTATTATCTTTGGTATCTAATAGACAGATTTCATTTATCATCGATGATATTCAATCATTTTAACATTTACGAAAAACACTTGTTTTAATGAATTTGCGAACAAATTTATGAACGAAAGACAAAAGGCTGAATTAGAAGGAAATAAAGGAAAAAGTTTATTTTGCAAGATTTCGCTTAATGGATCATATGGTTACGATGCAATGAATACACAAAATTACGCAAAGACTAAAATAATGAATGCACAGAAGGCACGCGTTGCATGTATGTCAAATAAGTTTAAAAACATAAGAGAAATAGGAGAGGATACATATCAAGTGATGCTCAAAGATAGATTTTATAGATGTGATACATGTTTACAAGAGGCATTCTCACTTTAGATAATGCTAAAATACTGGTATTTTGGTTTTCATTTATGATTTTATGTATAAATGTATGAATGTTAATCGTTTTCATTTCATTGAAGATGATACTGATTCATCTTATTGGGCAATCGCTGGCGACCCAAATCTTCCTAACACTCAAGCATTTCAAGCAATTGTTACCGATAAACAATTTTATGATAAAAACATTTTCAAATTCGCACCATTTGATTTCTTCTGTTTTGATGAGAAATTTAAACCTAAATTAAAGAATAAAGCTGAAGAAAAAGCACATGAGAGAGAAGTTATTGGGTTTAGCAATTGAGAAACAAGGTGATAACATGGTTGCTTTATGCCCCAAGTGTTATACATCATTCAACGGTTCAATTGATGGAAGTGATTTTCAAAAGATTGCACAAAAAATGAAAGGTGTTAGTTTACGACAAAATAAACAATTAACACCTAAAATTATTTGGATATAATAAATGATAAAGTGATATTTGATGGTCAGAATATTAATTTACAACTTAAAAACAGGACGATGACTCGCTTAACAATCGGTAAGACTGCATTAACAGGAGCACACACTAAGGCTGTATGTTGTGAAAATGGATGTTGTATGCCATTTATTTAATACAATTTAAAATTTTATTTTTAATAAAATGCCACAGAAGAGACAAAAGGAACTGTTAATGATGCGATTCAATATGTAAATAATTGTTTTGATACTATGATTCAAAGAGGTGGGCACCCTTAAAACATTTATTTTATTTTTATATAAATGGATAACGCAGATTTAGAAAATTTAATTTATGATTTAGTACTTAATCAAAATTTTCTTAATTATTATGAATTAAAATCATATCTCCAAAAACATAATAAAAATATAACAGGTGATGATATGGATTATTATTATCCGTATTATAAAAATGAAATTTTGAAATATCATGATAAAATAATTTCTAAAATTAAAGACAAAATTAAAAATAATGAATATACAAAGGGAAAAACTAAATCACAACTTAAACAATTGAAAGATTTCAAAAATAAAGTATTAACAGAAGAAGATATTGATGAATTATATAAATTATATAATCCTGAGCCGCAACAGCTAAAGGAACAAAAACAAAAGGTGCAAAACGCCCAGGTCCTTCAGACCATAAATGATGCACAAGCTTTAATTTATGATTCATTAGTTAAACCATATTCAGCCCGACTTTTAAATGAAGATCAACTTTTGGAATTCATCCTTCAACATAAACTCGAAGCGGGAAAGTATATCAAACCTTTATATACAGCATATTTAAAACAAATGAATAGAATACATCCAGAATTAATGAAGGGGGGGGAATGAAATCCAAAACTTCATCATCCAAAATCAAAGCGGATAAACCACTTGCAACACCAAAACCTCCAACGACAGTACCTCCTCCTTCAGTTAATCCTTCATCATTCACTTTATTATATCCATTTCAAACATTAAAGAAACAAAAAGATTTTAAAAAGGATTTCAAGATATTAAATAAACCAATTGACCCGAAAATTCAACCGTTAAAGGAAAAATTTAGTCGCCCTTCATTTGCTCCATATCCATATTCATACGAAATCGATCATCTGGAATATTCAAAAGGAAACGTTACTTATTTATTCACCATTAACATTAACACTAGATATTTATATTGCATTCCGGTGAAAGGGAAAACAGAACAGGAAACAAGAAGAGCTATACAATACTTACTAGATCATGAAAGAGTAGATAATATAAGGGGTGATGGTGATAAAGGATTTCAGGCAGCTATGGCTCATTATTTCCCACAAATTAATTTTTCTTTTCATCCTCTCCATATACGTTTCATAATAAAATAGTTGATGCGGTAATGAGAACTCTTAGAGATGCGTTAGGAGTTAACGGTCAGATATACTGGGATGGAAATCATGACTCCATCATACAGCAGTTAGTATATTATTACAATAATACATGGCATAGAACTATAAACATGAAACCGGTGGAAATGAAAAATGATATTTCAAAAGAATGGGGATATATTAGAAAGCAAATGGAAAGGTTAAATGATGTTAAACGTGAACAAATTAATTCGGGGCTCATGAATTTTAAACAAGGGGATAAAGTTTTGATTCATCTCGATTATGGAAAAACTGATAAATCAATGACAAAAAGAAGACGAAGATTTGACACAATAGCTGAATTTGTTAGATATATTAACGGTAATGTATTAGTTGAGGTTAACAATAAATTAATAGAAATTCCGATTTATTTTATTACTCCATTATATTTAAATAATATTTAATTTTTTTATTTCGTAAGAAATGAGTGACAACAAAGCATCCAAGAGTCCTGATTCAATTAAGATTCAGAGTCCAGACGATGAATATAAAAAGAAACTAAACAGAATTAAATCAAAAATATGCTATTACAAAAAGAAGCCGCAATGCGGTGGGGTTGAAAACGATAAAGAGAGGAAAGAAATAATCGAAAAATTAGAAACTTACCGTTCAATCCTTAAACTGAGTGAAGCAAAAATAAAAGAATTTAATAGAATAAATAAATTGATTGGAAGAGATGAATTTAATAAAGATGAATTTTTAAACTCAATCCAAATTTAATTTTTATTCCTCTTCGACAACGTCTCTAGGTTCTTCTTTCCATCATTACTGCATAACCGCATCTTCTCGGTTTTCGTGGTTTGTTGTTTTTAATTAGTTCTTGCATCATTTTTATCATTTCCTCCCTTGTTATGATTCGTGGTAAATTTTGAGCTTGTGGGGTATCCATTTATATAAAAATAAAATTTTGTTATCAGTTATTTTATCGTTAATGTTTTTAGGTTATTCAATAATTAATTATTTTTGAATAACTGATGGTGTCACTACGTCACCATGTGTCACTCGGTTAATTAACTTCTTTTAAAAAGTGTGACAACATGACATTTTGACAACACAGCAGGATTAATGAGGAAGGCACTTATGAAGCATTTTTGAATAACTGAAGGTGTCACTACGTCACCATGTGTCACTCGGTTAATTAACTCCTCTGAAAAAATGAGACAACATGACATTTTGACAACACAGCAGGATTAATGCAAAAATAAATTCAAATCATACTTTATAAAGCTTCATTTACAGGTATTTCATCGTCAGTAAATGAATCCTCATTATCGTTTGGTTCAACCTGTTTATATAATCCTTTCATTTCTTCTTTCAAAACATAACACCATGTTTGTTTACCATCTATTCTTCTCTGTTTCTTATCACATTTATCTTTAATGCTCATTTGGAAATTCTTGTCTTTCATGTCTGATGGTTTGCAGAATAGAGCATTTTTACACGTCATACCTGCACACAATTCATCATAATGTGTATTTATCCATACATCTAAAGGATTTGTTGATAATTCAATTAAATCTTGTTTGACTTCAGTCATCGGTATGATTCGTACGTTAAATGATGAAAGGTCATATTGCATAAAATATGTTAGTAAATTATCATAAAATTCCTTTGTGCATGAATCCATTAAATTCTTGAAGTAATCAAATTGACCCTTGAATTTACCATTAACTCTTAAAACTACGTATCTTCTGTCTCCAACTTCAATTTTGACGGGATAAACGTTATTAGTTACCAAAATGAAGTTTGCAACATTCTGAGCAGTTCTTCTGGGTTGATTCTTTTCATTAATTCTAATCTCATTATCCGTAATAATTGATTTCAAAGCGTTGAAGTTTGCGAGTCTGTCTTCACCTACATTCTTGAGTTCATTAAGTACAAGAAACATTTTATTCTCAACCACCGAATTGAAATTACCCGTTAGCTCACCTATTTCGGTAATGTTTTTACATGAATAACCGGCGAGAAGTTCAGAAATAATGTCTGTAAATCTGTTTTTACCTGTTCCCTGAAGTCCTTTCAAAATAATTGCTGTTTCATTCTTGATTCCAGGATGTTGAATCATTGATGCAATCCAGCCGAGAAGGTATTTATACACTTCATCGTTATTATCACAAATGGCTTCTTTAATGAAATTCATAAACATCTCAATTTTTGAGTAATCAAGCTTTTCGAGAATGTTGTATTTATAACCCTGAAACGTTGAGAAAACATCTGGGGAATCAGATTTAAAGCAAACACCCTTAACAGTTAATGAAGACAATTGATTTAGTAGTACGTCCCATGCTGTTATTGCTTTACCTTCTTCTTTAAATAATTTAATCATTTTAAATGACTCTTTCATGTTTGATTGAAGAACGAATGATATTTGATTCATTTTATCGTGGATATTATAGTCCTTTTGAATGAAATATTTGTTTCCACAATCTACAAAACGGATTACACGTGATAAATCCTCAATTACTTCAGAACTGTTTTTATACTGATGATTTTCAGCCTTGCGTCTAATATCTGTTATCAAAAACGAGTCATCAAGTTTGATATCAAATGTTATTTTTGGCTTACGTAATAAAGGTAAAACATATTCATCATAATATTCCTTTTGATATAGTTTTAGAATCTTCACTAAAACAAATGGAGAAGTCATTAAATGTGCATATTACTACGTGCTTTTTCAAAATTACTTTTTGCATTTTCAGTTAAGCTGCAGAAGTTATAAACGTTATCGTATGCTTCATTAATTAAATGATTAGGTAACGAATTAATAGCTTGAAACAGTGTGAATAATGTAACTTCTTTTTCTAAATTCATGTTTCCACCGTCATTATGTACTTCAAAATCACTGATGCCATCAACTATGCTCTGGGCAAGTTTATCGTCAATGTTTACATCTTTGTTTTCATTCATGATAGTCTTTATTTCTTCATTCTTTTGTTCAACTCTTACCTTAATATTCAAATCATTTAATATATCATTCACTGTTCTAGTTATGGTCGAGTCATAACTTCCACGAATGAATGGGTATGTTTTTATTGGTTCTGTTGCATTCTTGCGAACTCTTGAATCAGCCATAACCACTAATGAACGTTTTGAATCATCCATTGAAGTCATGATATCGATATCATAATCATTGCAGGAATAACATTTAATCATTCTGTTCGAAACTGCATAGAAGAAATTAGTGTTACAATAAATGTGAAGACCTCCTGAAGCGGTTTTAACAATAACATCTTTATCCGAAAGTTTTGATAAAATATCTTTTCTAACTGTTTCTTTAAGTTCATCATTGTACGATTTATTGATATCAACATCTATAATCGTTAAATTTGAAATTTTATTTACTAATAAAGCTGTACCAGTTTTCCTTCCACTTCCTCCATCGTGTTTGAGGTAGTTATGTAAATCAATCTTGTTTTCACCAATTCTTTCGTTGAGGGTTTTAGTTTCTGCCACAACTAATTCCTCAGCTAATGAATCAATAACTTTTTCATCAGAAACGATATAGTTGCTGTTGTTGTTTGTTGCTGTCATTTATATAGGAATAAAAAAATAAAAATAATTTTAAAACTAACTTTATTTTTGGACTGCATCAAATTTCCAGGACTGTTGTCAAAATGTCATGTTGTCACACTTTTTAAAAGAAGTTAATTAACCGAGTGACACATGGTGACGTAGTGACACCATCAGTTCTTCAAAAATAATTAATTATTGAATAACCTGAAAACCATTAACGTAAACATAAACGATAAAATTTATTTCCAGGACTGTTGTCAAAATGTCATGTTGTCACACTTTTTAAAAGAAGTTAATTAACCGAGTGACACATGGTGACGTAGTGACACCATCAGTTATTCAAAAATAATTAATTATTGAATAACCTAAAAACATTAACGATAAAATATATTTTTGGTCGTTTATGACAAAAATAAATGGTTCATTTACTCACAATATTTTTGTACAAAACGACCCCAAACTTTTAACTTCTTTTCTGCAGTTCATCCATTACTTCATTACCTAATTAATTACAGACATAAAATATATTTAGTTCATTGAACGCGGTACCATGCGAATATAGTCACAAATGGTGGCATGTAATCTTTACCCAAGCCTGTTGGATTTGTTGTGAAAGTATGGACATGATTTCCTCCTGGTTCAGTTTGTCGAAAAGTCTTTTTTGTTGAATCGTTATAAGCTGGAGATAAAACATCATAACCGGCTTCATAGTCTGAGTTGTATAATGGGTGGTCTCTTAATGAGTGGCTATGGTCGCCAGAAAAGTTTGTAGTTCCTGTATGAGTGTGCGGTGGAAGGTTTGCTTCTTTAATTTTCTTCGAACCTCCTGTTTGCTTTGAATATCTAGCACAGTATAAGAATTTATCTACAATTTGCTTCCACGTATCAAAACCTAAAACTGTTGCTGGATTTGTTGAATTCATTGATGTATAAATAGAACCAACAGGATATAATGTTTGAAGTATTTCATTTTTCATGCTTGTAATCACATCATTTACTTCCGACTTCTTTGCATAATTTTCATCAACATAAGTTTTATCTGCTTTAAGGTCTAAACATCCTGAAACCCATCCTGTATCAGCTTTAACTTTAAAAGTCTCCAATGTCCATTCCTTATCCGCTTTCTTCTCTAACTCATCGTTAACATAAGTTTTATCTGCTTTAAGGTCTAAACATCCTGAAACCCATCCTGTATCAGCTTTAACTTTAAAAGTCTCCAATGTCCATTCCTTATCCGCTTTCTTCTCTAACTCATCGTAACATAAGTTTATCTGCTTTAAGGTCTAAACATCCTGAAACCCATTCTGTATCAGCTTTAACTTTAAAGTCTCCAATGTCCATTCATGATACCATTCAACCTTTCTTTTTAATTTCATTACTTTTTCATCAACATAAACAAATTTGCCTTCTCATTAACTCACTATCCACATATTCCTTATCCACCTTCTTCATTATGTCGTTTAGGAAACCTTCTATGAATTCCTCATTTAAAATTAAATCTTCCAATCTTCAAAACTTTAGGAAATGCATTTAATGCGTAATATCTCTTTCTTCTGGTGGAATTGATGTATATCATCCGTTATACCTTTAATTTTAGAATTCATAAATAAAATTTCTTTTATATTTGATATCACTGCACCACCTTTGCAAACGAATTCAAACGGTCATTTTTCAATACTATCTCCAAATCTCCATATTTCAACCTTTGCGTTTTGTTCCCGTCTTTGAATTATATGCATATATGGCGTATGTAATGGTCTGAAGACCCGGCGCTTTGCGCCTTAAGCTGTTGTTGGTTGCTGTTGTTTAATCATTTATTATGATTTAAAAATAAATATTTAATCCGTTATCTCATCAGCTATTTTCTCTATTTGAAATTGCCATATATTTCATTCATAAATCTAAATCACAATCAAATAGGTCAGTTATTCTAAATTTAATATTATGAAAATCTTTTGAATGAAGAATAAATGAATTCCCGGATAATTGAAACGGATATGATAAAGAAAATGTGTTTAAGTTGATGGATAAAATGTTTTGTATTGAATGGTAAGAGTTAGGGTCTAATGTTTGATGTGAAAATCTCATTGGGGTATTAACTTTATCACATTTGATTAAAATGAAATTGGAACCAGTGTCAGAATACAAAACATCCCCAACATCTTTTTCAAATTTAATATCCCCAACAATGAACGAAGATGAGGAGTACAAAATTTAATTTTCAGCGGAATTTAATAAGGTTATTTATTTCATCAAGTTCAAAAGTTTATCGGGTTTTGATTTAAAATTTTCTTCATACCATCGATAAATGATTCATTTAAATAACTTAAAATCATGTTAATATCCCATTTCGCTATCACATTATTTATATACATATCATACGTTTTTTCAAGTCATCTTAATAAATGATATATAATCTGAAGGGTCTAAAAGAATGGGATTAAATTTACCACTCACAGAAACGAGAGTAACATTATAAATTCCGCTAACACTATTATTTTCAGAAAATAATTTGATAATTGACATTTTTATTACGATTAAAAATATGGTAAAGCGTTATTTTCCAGTGATAAATAAAACTAGAATAAGATTACCTCAAGAATTCATAAATTCAACGAATAAGAATTTATTCATGTTATAAATTTTAGTTTTTCAGAAAATATGAGTCAGTGTCATATTCATCAACAGGTTATATTTCACTTCATTCAAATTTAGTTCAATCAAACCCATATAATGACCATTTCATAAGATTTTCAGATGGTATTAAAAATGTAATTGATAGATTAAAATATGAACAGATTGACAATATCGAATTTTTGGAATTTTGGTTTAAATATCCCGATGGAAAAAAGATTGAAGTTAAAGATAAAGCTGATACTATAACAAAAACAATTACAATGACCGATCCGGATAGTGGGGAACAAAAAGAAATAAAACAAACGATAGAAACTGGTGAAAGGTCAATTATTATTGATTATGATTCAAAGGATTATTATTCGATAATGTTAATGCTTGAATATTAAATAGCCTTAACAAAGAATTTTTCAAGTGATATTTTATATTCATCAACTATTTTATTATAAATATCATTATATGTTAAATGAAGTTCAGTTGTTGTTCCGTTCTTTGATATCTTAATTGTGCTAATATCCTTTATAGGATTTATTTTTGCAACTGTTCCGCAGCATGAAACCTCATCATCTATGAAAAATTGAATCTTAACGTCTGAATCTTGAACATCACAAAGAATGGCGATAATGTGAATTAATGATTCATAAGGTAAAATAATTAAACCGGATTGGCCAATTAAATTTATTATTGAATCATAATTATTAATTATTATATCACGGTAAATTTTCATTAATTCAGAATTAATGTCTATTTTATATGGGTTCTCGATGTTTGATGAAAGAGGTGGGGGGTATGTTGGATAATGGGAATTTCAACGGGTTCTTTACCGGGTTCAGATAAAATGATTGGGTCTCCATTCTCATGGTTTTCTTCATTCTCCTCATTCTTCGGTAAGTCACGAGTTAATAAATTTGGTTGAGTTGCTGACCTTGTTAATTCAGGCTAACATTAACTTTAACATTTTGAATAATTCGTGATTTATCATCATTTACGTTATAACCAACCGTAATCTCTGCTTTTGCGTTAGTGTTCTTTGACTAGTGAAACGTCTTCTCATTTATATTCGAATAAAAAAATATATTTAAACTTTTATTTTGCTGGAACTTTTGAATCTATTATTCCCTGTATTTGTTCGAAGTTGATTTTTAGCTGTTTCATCGTAATTAATAGACTAATATATTCATTAATTGCATTCTATAATCATCTGATTTCTCAAATTTTCTTTTATCTGATTCCTTAACTAAATCATAAGTTAAACCTCGTTGCTGATATAATGGTTTCTTAATTAAATCTTTGAATGCTTGAGATAAAGCGCCTGATGCAATTCTTGCTACTATAATTGGTTGGAATTGTTGTTTAAGTTCATCTTTAACATTTGCGAAAACTGGATCGAATAAAGCAACTTTAAAGAATTTCTTAGCTGAAATTTCAGGTCTAATATTTGCATATTGACCATCAAACTGGTTAGAATATCGGGGTAATCCATCCGGTCCCTCTTCAATAGCATTTAATTCTTCATTGAAATAAGAATATGGATTATAACGGTATGAATTAATTGGACCATTTTCACCTTCTCCAATGTATTGTTTAACAGCTTTTCCATTTTCATCAAATTGCATAGGATAACGTTCATTATATGCTTTACGTTTAGGATAATCAGTTATAGTTTAATTTGTAACCATTTATGACTTTAATATTACCTTGACCATCAGTAACGAAAACTTCATTTATACCATCAGGTTTTCCATTTGACCCGTAATGTCTGCTTCGTGTGCTTCCAATTTGGACCTTGACGTTTGGCATATGCTTGAGCTTCTGGTAATGTTAAAACGTTTCTCATTTGTTTAACATCTTTTTGAAGACCAGCAACAATATGAACTAATTCTTTCATTCCATCAGGAACTTTCATAGTTCTATTATATGCACCCCTTTTGTTTGTCCCTTGTTTTAATGGAACCTGTAGAAGATTTACCATTTCTGTCATGTTTAATTATAAATAAAAAATAAAAATTAATTATAAAAAGTTAATCAAATTTAACACTTCCTTTATTTAAATCAACTATTATTTTTCCATGTTCACCTAATTGCTGATATTGTGTGTAAAGTTCATTAATGCTCATTGGTAAATTCACTTGATAAAGCATAACGTTCAACTGTTGACGACTAAACCCACTGAAAATGAAAAGGGTTGATAGATTTGATTTAATGTTTGTGCTTAATGCTTTGAAATATTGAACAGCCATGAAGAATGAACACTGAATGTGTCGACATTGAGTTAATAACTGATTAAAATATGATTTCTCATTTGTTATTAGTTTTGATTTCACTGCATCATCTAGAAAAATGAGTGAATGCAAAAATTCTCTATCAAAATTTGAAATAGAAAG